TCATCCTGTCCAGTGGCTTTGGAGTTACACGCAAACCGAAGTGGATGATTCGGACATTGAGTGATTGACGCTCTTTTTCCTGCACTCAGATAACGTCATTGTCACAGAGTAACATTTTCACAAGTCTCCATCCTTTGCCTTTGCTCCCTCTGCCTTGCAATCTTCTTTTTTTTCTCTGTATCTCGTCTACTTCATGATAGATCTGCTCTGTCAATCCAACTGCTTATCTTTGCTCACCAAGAGTCCCCTATAATACGTTTTGTCTTTTATAAAATATGATAGATGGGAGTGATTGTTCTCTTTCACAAAGACAAAAGTGTCATTAAGAAAGTTTCCTTAGTTGCTAGTTTTTAATCCACTTACCTTAACTTGAGGTCATTGGAAGTGGCACAATTCAACTGCATCGCTCTCATTATCATCACTATAAGTCTTTGTGTTGATTTGACTGTTTTCAGCACAAACTAATATGGTTGTTTTCTCTTTTTCTCTGTTTTCTCTTTGCTTGCCGCACAGCTTAAATGGAGGAAGTCAGTAATGTGACCGAAGCGCTCCTGCGGGCAGAGCGGGGTAATAATGGAGCCAGGCCTGGGGGAGGAAGAGCTTGCAGCACAGTGAGAAGCAATTTGAGGAAGCTCAATAAGTCATGACCTTGTGGAGGTTTTACCATACGGCACTCTGGCTTACTACCGTGTGCTGGGACGGAACCACGGGGTGCACCATCAAGCATCAGATCCTTAAGGTGTAGCATCAGACCTGAAACAGGACTTTGCTCGGCCGGCTAATCAGATTACCGCTCACATCATGTGTCAACAGTATTGTTTTTTGGGGGTTTCTTACACTCAAACTATAAAACTGCCTATGGTCTACAAATAATGTTTTTTCTGCGACCAAAACTTAAGTGTAGGAAGGATGCAGCGATAAGAGCCTGATCAGTACACGCTGTACTGGGTGGTAAAGGCTGGTTCTAAGTGGTGCAGGGACTGAGTGCAGCTGACAGCCGGGGAACGGGAGAGTGCGGCACACAGGCAGGCAGGACATTGCTACTTGGCAGGCAGGTCCAAACTGTCACCACGGATTTCTACAGCTAGGTCTGAAGAGAGCACTTCCCATCAGCGTATCTTTGCTCGACCAAGGGTACAGAAAGGAATTTTGAGAATGTCAAGAGTTTACAGTTTACAGTTTCAGTAAATTAGGGGTGTGAAAGAATTTACTATTATCAATAAGGGATTTTTTTATCGTGTTGTTCTGCTTCGGGCACATTCCTGTTCTTCTTCATCTGCAGGGAAAAGTGTGTGTCTGTAACAGCTTCTCTGTGACAGCCGGGTCTCAGGGGCTGCCTAGATGATGATGATGATAGTGGCATAAGGCCTTCTGATGAGTCAACATATGAGCCAGGTGTGGAGCTGAGGTCTTGAGTCGATGTCATTGCCACTGAACACCTGTCACAGCTGAACCGTCTCAAAGACGTTTTCAATCATTCCAGTTTCGTTAATTTGTCACAACAGGAAGTAGTCGCACAAAATGTTTTTTCATTGTGTCACTCTACACAATAACGACGCTAATGCAAAGTCAATAAGGATCCTTTTTCCTGGTGGACACACGATATCCAGCCATTTGACTTTGCAATGGTCGATGAGTGGAGCAAGACGAGACTTTCTGCAGCTGCTGCATTTGTTCTGGTTTCCCTGAACAAACAAACAAACAGCTCATTCAGAAAGAAGAAGAAGAAAAAGAAGAAGAAGGGGAAGAGGAAGAGGAATGAGGCTGCGTGGCGGAGGAGTTGAGAGGCAAAACAGAGGCAGAAGAGCCCGAGGACGCTGTTATACTGACAACATGACGAAGCAATCTGACTGTCTGATCCGTACACAATGACACAAGCATTTGTCATTCTGATGGCACTGACGTGTCCATTGACACGGATATTTACTTTTCAGAGATGAACTAAGGATTTTGAGCAACACAGGGGTGTTTTGCTATTTGTACGAATCGTTTTGAGAAATGCACGGACTGTTTTGCAAATGTCGAGGATGATTCGAGAAATGTACCAAAGCGACTGAGGAAACCTATAAACATCTTGCTGAATGAGTAAAAAGCGTGGCTCCTGCCATTGATTATTGATGGTTATCCCCAAGCTAACACGCATTAAGAATGGATTTAGAAAATGACTGCTAATGGTGCCTTTACTTAGGCTCAAGGGTATTAGGATGAATAGTGTCAAAGTGTTCTTGCAGGGTGTACGCTGCAGAATGGTGATCTTAAACTCTTTAGAACATGGCTGCATAATACAAGGTGATGATTTATTTTGCTGGAAAAAAAATCATCATGAAAGCTCTGTTCACCACCGGCCTCACGGGAAGTACTGTGCCTGTATTTATATTTACTGCATTTATATCACTTAGAACTGGTAACTGAGTACAACCTTCAGCACTCTTTGAATTCTGCCTGGAACGTTTCTTCTCACTGTATCTTTTTTTTTTAAATAACGTTATATTAACGTCTCAGGCGATGATTTATGGATAAAACTTACGTTGAAAGCAAAATGAATATTTAGATTTCAGAGACAAGGCTGTGCTAAAGCTGATGTATGTAGCTGCCAGAGAATTGCTTGATTAAAAGGTCAATATTGCCTGAAACACGGTCACGCAAGAATTTAAATGGATTTCAGGGTCAATATCACATCATCACAGCTATTCTTTGTAAAGCCAGCAACACTCATCACACTTTGGCAATAACTACCTGCTGAACATGCTGCAAATATTATTCAAATAGGACATTATTTATGTTCAGGCCATCTGTTAAAGCCTGTCATTATAAGAAATTGTAGGACTAATGACAGACTTGTTTCACTGACGTTCAGTTCCTGAAGTCTTTTCCTCACTTTTTCTACAACCACTGGAAGTTTCACATGAGACTTAAACTTGTCGAAACCTTAAACCGGCATCGTTATTGTTGACCACTTTGGGGCTGAACTTCTCATCAAGCTTTTTGAACAGCTGACAAAAGTCCAGTCTCCCCTTTATCCTATTTATGAACTACCTGAGCTTGTTTGTCTGTGGTTGTACTGGCTATTCCTAAATCAATCTCTAAATTTGTGTTTAACTTTAACTAACCCAAACCCGCCCCTCCCCTCCCACACACACACACACACACACAGAGTAAAGTTTTAGCTGCAAGATTAATCGGATATTCAATTGCTGGGATGTTTGAATGTGAAAGAATCAACGGTACAACGGAGCCATGCCTCATCCCACAACTGGAATCAAACATGTCAACTGATGGATTCGTCCTTCAAAACCAGTCTGGATGAATTTATCACAGCTTGACTTCCACAATTACTGCCGCTGTCTCAGAACCTCGGTGCCGGATGATGTCGGCAACAGCTTGGTTCACACTGAATAGGCTTTGCTGATGATGGAAATGTCAGCATTTCACAGCCCGTGGTCAATAGAAAAAATAATAAAATCTATTGAGTCTTTCAAAAGAGTACTTTCCACTGGGGTCAAAGATCTTACTACAGCCAGAATTGGCTTTTAAGGAACCACAGTAGAAAATCAATGCCGTGTGCATCAAATATTAATTTCACAAAATGAAATACAGCCAAAATACAGTCACAGGAAACCGAATATAAAACACAATGTACAATACACAAATATATACAAATATTATACACTCAATTTACAGATCTGTATCTCGCACTACAGAATATCAGAAAAAATATAAGAACATAGCAGAGGAAGGACACATGAGGAGCTGCGGGAGAGTGGGAGTAAACAGGGGAGATGATTGTGTCTGCCTTGCTGCTATTTGGAGCTTTTAGTCACCATCCAGTTCATCGACTGGACCTCGACTGTACAGCCAATCACACGAGAGCAACCCAGAAACCGGGGCCTCTTTTAGCTCACAATCAACACCCCGTAGATGCTGTGACAGTTGGACACAACTCACACTGGATACGTTGACGCTGTTTTTGATATACTGTAGGCTGCTCTAACTTGACCCCAGGCACCTGATAAAAGTGTGAGCCGTGATTGTTTTGTGTAGGGAGGAAATGTGAGTTACACACTGTAAAACACAGGAACACATTCTAGATTAAACCAGGCTTTTTTATTACCAAACTTTCGCCACATCCAAAGTATCTGGGGTGTTTATCTCGTGTGCCCTGTGTAGGACTATAATATTGTTGACAGCAAGAGCGGCAGGAAAATAGATGGCTATTTGCCGCTAAAATCTCCCAAAATCCCTCAAAGCATTGGTGTGAGAAAGGTGTGTGCAACATTTGAGTTGGAAATACCAACAGGCCATCAACAACCTGAGTCTCCGTGGTAAAGTCCTACAGAAATGGATTTACTTTCATCTGTACAGACACCTATTATTGGCTCTCTGATATCAAACCGAGTCTGAATAAATGCCCCGCAGAACGATGTGTGCAGACAGATGATTGTTGCTGCTGCCACTATGTTTTACTGGGAGCTGTTCCCAGTCGTCTGTAATGGAAGCACAACGCAGAGAGAAACACATGCTGTGACATGGAGAGAAGTATTAATTTTGCATTGTTCTATACTCACGGCAACATTGTTTATTTGAGCAGGTTAATGATTAATTGATCATAGCCATGTTGGTCAGAATTACATTTGATTCGGGTTTCATTTTTTTATTTTCCATGATAAAAAGCCTTATTTTTTTATAATCTTAACCAAATCTTCTAACTATGCAGATACCTCAGGTAAAAATATATTTTACAGTTGTGAGTTCATCATGCATTTAACTAACTAGTTTAGGTCGAGGTGAAAGCTTGTTATATGAGTGTGCATATACTCACTGTTATAATGATTTGCTCTGATACGACTTATTGAAACGTGTATCCAGCATCATTTCAGCCTTTTTCATTTTTAAAACGTCATTTTAAGGCAATACAATAAGTAGATAAAGATAATTAAAGAAATGTATAGTTTACAACGTCCTGGCTTCATAACGTGGACACAATAAAAACAACAGAAAAATGTATTATACAATAGTTTAATAAATACTGCGGTGTGTTTGTTATATTGAGTAATAAAACACACACAAACAGACACACACATATTGTAATCTTGTGAAAATCTCGGGAAATCGTTGCCTTTTTTTTTCTTTTAGAGTTCAAAAACCCATAATCGTAATACTTTTGGCGACTGAATACATTTCTTCGACTGGGGCGCGATGGAAATTTTTTGAAAATGCAAGATTCAAACTATTCACTTCTGCTCTTGAGGCACAGGTGGCCAATCAGACAGCAGCATATTGCCCGGTGGCTTCATCTTCCCCGGGTTGACAAGAGACAAGTCCTTTCTAAAGCTGCCGGCTGCACCCTGGAGAGAGCGGCGTCCAGGTGAGGAGCAGAACACAACAGATGCTTTGAGAGGAAGCAGGAAGGACGTAACACTTGACCCTGGCAGGAAATAGAAATTTACACAATACCCTCAGATAATGGAAAAGACTTTTTGGACTATCTATAATGAATGAAGATGAGCTATTTAGAAATAGATTTTAGATTGGGACTATTCATGGGGAAGACTAATGAAGAAAATTGTTGCCGTAGTGATCGTAGGCATATTGTTCTTCACCCTAAATCACAGTGTTGATGCCATTTGAACCAATGGATGCTCACAAGACACCAGTCTGCCTGTTGGGTTTGATTCCACTTACAACATATTCTGGTTCTTAAATGTCTGCAGCATCAAATTGCTTTGTTCTGCAATCTAAATCTCTATAGCAGAGGACGTCGTGAGTGCAATGTTTACGGAACAAAAATAGACTTTAATTAAGAGGAAAACTTTAATTACAGAACGAATTTGCTCCAATTAACAGGATACACGGCATGCTGGGCTGTTCTCCGCCACCCACGTCCACACTCATACAGTCTACAGCAGGAAATCAAGAGAAATACACTGATTAATACGTTGCATATTGTATGCAAAAACACATACAAGATACAGTACATGTTCGAACATTAATTTCTCCATTGCATTTGCAATCTGAGAGGGTGTTTTCACACAGCAACACACGACTTTGCCCCTTAATGGGATGCTGCTCGACAAAACAGGTGCTCAAACTACTGAAAGTACAACAGTGCTTTGATAGAATACTTTATAATCAGAGAGGCTTAAACGCACTATTGTAATCGGAGATAAACGAGTCTTTGGCGGCAATAAACGGACGGCCACAGGGAATGAGGTGAAAACCCCGTGAGCCGCATCCACCAGCACGGCTTGGTTATTTCCTAATTAAACAGGGGCTCGTTCAGGCAGTTTTTCCTCGTGCGTCGCACCGTGTCCCCATCCATGTCCCCCCATCCATGCCCCCCCATCCATGCCCCCCATCCATGTCCTCAGATCTGATTCAAATCCCCCAGGGAGGTGGTGGCTCATCAGTAGGCTCCCACAATAACTGCCTCGGCTTCTTTGGAAGGTCTCCTGTCCGTCACCAAGAAGTTGATCATTCCCTCCGACTTTATGAGCAGGTTGCAACCCAAGAAAAATATGCCAAAGACCACCGTGAGGGACAAGACGCACATGACGGCGATCTGCACCACGCGGGTGACGAAGAGGCTCCTCTCGTCCGGAGCCGCGGACACGAAGCCGTTATCCGTCACCACGGAGGAAAAGTTACAGCACAGAAACTCCTCGGTCCTGTTGAGCAGTCCGCCCTCCGTGTGGTTGAACGCGCTGTGGTTCATTTCCACTTTCAATTCGGGTTTTGTTTGTTTGTTTCAAAAAAAGCAAACTTTCAGACCGAGAGACGCGCGGGGAAGGACGCTGTTAAATGTGGCATCAAGGTGAAAAGTAGAGATGAGGAGGAGGAGGAGGAGGTGCCGAAATGAAGAAGACCAGATCAGACTGCGCTCTTCTTCTGGAGTTGAACGAGCTGTTTTGGAGGCATCGCATCACTGGAGACTTCATGTGGTCCGCAGCCGGTTTCAGAGCAGACTGAATCCAGCAGACCCCCCTCGGTTAGATAGCAGATAGCAGGCGGCAGCTGACAACAAGTGGCACTACGACACAGTAAGAGCGCCACCATCCGACACGACTGCACACGTGTGCACCAGGGCATCTGTCTGTCTGTATGTCTGTCTATCTGTCCTTCTCTCTCTCTATCTGTCTGTCTGTCTCTATCTATCTATCTATCTGTCTGTCTGTCTTTTTGTATGTCTGTCTGTCTGTCTGTCTGTCTCTCTGTCTATCTGTCTCTCTGTCTGTCTATCTATCTGTCTGTCTCTCTGTCTCTCTGTCTGTCTATCTATCTGTCTGTCTGTCTGTCTCTCTGTCTCTCTGTCTGTCTCTCTCTCTATCTATCTATCTATCTATCTATCTATCTATCTATCTATCTATCTATCTATCTATCTATCTATCTATCTATCGCTCTATCTATCTGTCTGTCTGTCTTTCTGTATGTCTGTCTGTCTGTCTGTCTGTCTGTCTCTCTATCTGTCTGTCTGTCTGTCTGTCTGTCTCTCTGTCTATCTGTCTCTCTGTCTGTCTATCTATCTATCTATCTATCTATCTATCTATCTATCTATCTATCTATCTATCTATCTATCTATCTATCTATCTATCTATCTATCTATCTATCTGTCTGTCTGTCTGTCTGTCTGTCTGTCTCTATCTACTGGTCTATCCGTCTAAGAAACACACGCAGTCACACAATCGTTCCTGTAATTGTCAGTCAGGACGCTGAAACTGAAGCAAACAAACACAACGTAGACTTCCTTCATTTGATGACTTACAGTTTCCTTTGTGTCACATAATGAACAATTACCTTAAAAGCTAACCGACGTCATAAAGGCCGCGCTTTAGACAGTTATGGTTTACGTATTTTACAGTAATCACACATCAAATCACCCCAAGTGGAAGCTTGGTCCTCACTGAAATGTTTTCCTTTTTTAATTTTCTAAGCGAGCTGCACAAAGTCACGAGGCTTTACTCCCTCTGTGAATCTAAGAGGAACTAGGACATCTAGTGGAGGCTTTAGTCCGTTGTATAAGGTTTGGGAATCTACGTGAATGCAAATGTTAGTTAGCCTTATCATGCAGGGAATACCACAGGGTGATGGGGGTGTATTTAAATGTAATGGCAACTTTAAAATAAAAAGGAAACTTACTTAATTGACAGTGCATCCGAGTTATGACCTGCTGAATGTGAATTATATTGCTCAGATTTGCTACTAGCCAATGCAACCCTAAATGTCTCGTCGTCAATAGCAGCAGATGGCAGCATTGTTCAACATGAGGCCTTCCTGAAAGTAGTGTCAATTTCACAATTCAAATGAATAGAGCCACGACAAACCAACACACACTCAAAGGTGCAGGCAAGATACTTTTGATTTAAGAGGTCATTTTACAACTGATACACTGTACGTTTCTTTACAGAATATTTTAACCCCTGTTCTTCTATCAATGTAAGACACAAACACCAACATTACTAAAGCGTCCATGTGGGATTTCTTTTTATATTCATCCGGTGAAATAGAAACTCAAAAGTAATATAGAGTATTTAAACAAATGTGAACGACGATTATTCTATGCATTAATTAACTGTGTTAATAAATACGTCTCCACCTTGGGTGAGAATGCGATGCTATTAATTGTCCTAAGCTAAGTGAAAGGCAACATTATTTAAATACAGGCGTATTATATCGCTGGGTTCCCCAAATCTAAAAATAAATGGAAAAAGTGCCTTATTTTGCCTGTTTCACACCAGAGTCGCAGTCGCACTTAAAGCCGCATTCCGCCTGCGAGGTGTTCGTGCACGCGCATGCGTTCACGAGCGAGACGACCGCGACGGTGCACACCGCGAGAGGATTCCATGAGCGACGTGGCTCTCAGCCAATCGGAGAGCGGAAAACGAGACATTTCTTTCTGAAGGTCGGTCTGAGCCGAGGTTACCGCGTGCACTGTATCATCACGCATGTCCTCCTGCCGTAACCCCCCCCCCCCTAAAAAAAAACAACACCGGTGCGTGCGCGGACTTTGACGTCGCATCTGGTGCTTAAATTAATCGCAGACTGCGGCCCCGTTCGCCGCGCGACTAGCGCCCAAATCCCATCAAAGAGTCCAAACAGGTGCCGCGGGACGCTTATCCGGACGCGCGGCACCGCACCGCACCGCACCGCACGCACCGCGGCGCGGACTCCTCTGTTTCTGCGAGATGGACCGCGACTTGGGCGTCGTTCCCACACGGTGTCCGTGCGCAAGGGCTCTTCCCTCGGTTGGATTCTGCCGCTAAACGGTGCGGCGTATCGGGTCATGTTCTCCGCGCTCAACACGTTGTCCGAGAGGAAGCCCGAGCGGGTCACTGGTTCACTCCATCCGTAATTTGGGTAAGCGGAGCGAGTGTCCTCATCTTCTTCAAACCACGTCGCCGTTTAACCGCTGCACACAACGTGCCCGTAGATGTAACGCGATGTATGCGTCCGTGTTGCGTTCAAGGTGTTTAGTATTCGTGTTCACTGCTTACAATGTTTGTTTCCATCTCCCACCACATCGCACCTTTTTAATAGTATAATCAATATGTAACGTGCACATAACTGAGGGTGTGCGCGAACAGGCCGGCTGAGCATCATACCCTTTTTTTTTTAAAGTGCTAATCGTTTAGTGTTTGGGTAATAAAGAGTCTGCAGTCATTGGCCTAATGGGCTTATTGGGATTGGCCCCATAATCTCCTCCTGCTCCTGCTATATGGCTGGTTACAGATGCTAGTGTTAAATCTAATATGACGCCTGAATCTTAAATACAAAGAAAGGGAGCAAAGCACATTTGTCTTCTTTATTAGTGTTTGTTGATATTTTTTTCAAAATATTCAGAAATATGCCAAATTTACAATATTTGTTTGTTCAGCACGTATTATACAACACAAAAGGTATTGAGCTCTACCTTCTGTTCTGTACAGCAGCTGCCTGGAAGGTGGCTGGATTGAATCCTAACATGTCTGAGGACATCAATGTTCTCTCGGGAAGTGCCCCTGAGCAAGGCACTACATTCACAGTCCATCTCCAAATCTGTCAAACAAACCGCCTTGCCATGGTCCCATACCAGTGAATTTATGATTAAAGGAGGAGGATCCGTTCACTTTGCTCTTCGGCTTCGTCATCAAAAGTTTGGCGCTCACATTACTGCCGTGGTTCAATGTCGAGTGCAGTTGTATTGCTGTGGATAGCAATTAGCAAACAGTCTGGGAATCGCATACACTAAAACCTCTTTTGAATGAGCGAGGAGTGCATTTAGCTCATAACACTGCACCAGGCATTTCACAACGAAGGGAGTTGCTAACGTAACAATTAACTGTCACACCATGGAGCAATTACTAATGCCTGCTGGGGCTTTACACTTGTCTTGCCAATACTGGAAAAAAGTGTCGCGTAAAGACTGAAGGGATCTGTTTCTTTTTTCTCGCTCTGCACAGCAGTGAAGAATTATTCCTCTTTGCAGATGGTTAGGCCTAATTGACTGGGACTTCTTCGGACATGACTTCAGCAAGCTGCCGGCAGCACGGCTGGTGTTACCAAACCCAAACATGCCGCCGCATCTGACGCACCGAAGCAGATGGTCAGAGATGTAAATAGACCTCGTCAGACTTAATCGTCATTGATCTGTCTGCGATGTGAGCCTAAGCGAAACGCCACTTTAGAAAGACGATGTCCCTTCCACTCCGGTTAAATAATCAGTCAAAGTCGTTGTGAATCCTGAAATAATCTGCCGCTCTGTGTTCTGAGAACTGAAGCTCTTTTCTCGCAGTTGGATGGAGGCCGCTCTGTTTTTGAATGAGATGAGAGTTTAAGAGTTATCCCGGGGCAGCGGTGTCTGACCCTGTGATGGACGTTTGGACAGGGAGCGGAGAGGACAATGCGTGTGTGTGTGTGTGTGTGTGTGTGTGTGTGTGTGTGGAATGCAGAATCATTAGCATGCTGCAAGTGAAAGGTAAGGGGAAACTGTCAGATTCCCTGCAGGAGGGTCTGCAGGCATTTTACACAAGTCAAACAAGTCAAAGATGGGGTACGTTGTTTAGAAAACACGCATTTGCGATTAAATGCACACTCGGGTGTATGTACAAGTAGGATACTTGAATAATAATTACCAGTGTAGGTATTTAATATTCTAGCGGATATAGCTCTAAATGCTTAAAAGGCCATGGGTATTTTTATGTTTGATTCTCTGTGGCTGAGCATTTTCCTCCTCTCATCCCACTTCCATTGCGATTAGACTTTAATAAGTCTTTCAGTCAACAAAAACGTATAATTTCAGTCAAGTAGAAATGCTATGTTCTTTTTCATCAGAAACGTTACATTCCATGCCAATGAGATATCTAACCTCCACAAATTGCCTCCGGCGTGAAAGCTTTCCAGATGGTCTGAGCAGCACTGCTGATGAAGTGGGAGAAGTCTGAAAAGGGGAAATGAGCAGCCACTTATCCGTTGAAACGGAAAAATGTGGAGGCTTTGGGAACGGTCCAACATAGGAAGATGGTGTGACTTACTATGTAGCATCACCCTTGCGGTCTGTGTGGGACATCTACGTGTTACTCTTCCACTTCCACGCGGTAATCTAGGTACATGGACAAGTGAGAGAGAGAACGGCAGTAGCTGCCAAACTAAACTGTCTCACTTTGTTCATGTCTTGGGTTATGTAAGCCAAACGTTTTCACCCCCTGATGTGATTCTGAGCCTTAACAATTTCTGACAGTAATTTCTGATTTGAGACCAATTTTCTCTTTTTCCCTAAATGTCAACGCTGCTTAACTCCCTGCAGTCAAACTAGGTGGGATCAATTTTATGTACGGTACCGTAACGTAATGCCAGGGATTACTTTGGCACTGCAGACCACCATGACTTAATCAATGTAGCTATATATATATATATAGCTATATTGATTGATTGATCATTCATTGATTCTATATATATAGATGTTTCTATTTCTGTGGCGGGACGTCTTGGTCCTGATGGACCAACGGCCTCTGCTGAGCCTTCTTGGTGATGGAGCTGTATTCAGCTCCTGCTTGAGGAAGCTCCCCATCGCACCCACGGGTAGCAAATATAACTAAAAAAGTGATTCTACCTTTTGTGTTATGTGACATTCCACAAAAGAAATAGAAAACGCAATAATCAAATGCGCAAATGTGGTTATCACTGATTGTCTAGAGCTATTAAATGCGTAGACGTAAACTCTGGAAAACAGGCGAAGACTTATTGCTTTTACAGGACACAAAATGAGGATCCACCTTAAATGTGCTCCCTCAGAGATTTAGATGATATTATGTTCATGTCTACGCCGATAATTTCAGGACATCCTAGTTTTAAGGATTTACTTTCATTGAGAATTTCCAGCAGGCAGACGATGATGTCATCATTAGATTTAGAATTCCACCTCGTTGTTGAGTTTTTTTTTTTTTTTTTCCTCCTCCAGGATGACGCCTCTCGGTCCCACCTGCTCCGTCTCCTCCCTGTTACCTCACCTTCACGTGCCTCACCAGCGGGGTGAGCGCTGCTGAGCTCTCGCCGCGACCCTCCCTTCCCCGGCTGACGAAGGCGATGCGGCGGTTCGTCTACTGTAAGGTGGTGCTGACCACCTCTTTGGTGTGGGTGCTGGTGGATGTGTTCCTGCTGCTCTACTTCAGCGAGTGCAACAAATGTGACGACAGGAAAGACCGCTCGCTGCTCCCGGCCCTGCGCGGTGAGCAAACTGTTTTGCTTCATAGAAAACAAGTGATGGGGAAGCGAAAGCCACTTACAACACATTCATTTGAGTGTGACATGTAAGACTGAGTTGCGTCCGGTTCCATTTGAGAGTCATTGGAGTAATTTATATAAATAAAATAACAAAATAATATCAAAATCCCATGAAGATTTCTCTCCTGGTGTTCAAACGATCTCAACTAAAAAAATAATTTGTTAATCAGAAAACAAGCAGTAAGTTGGCTTTTGAAAGTGCTTTTTGAAGAAAGTTCCATTTTCTTTATTCTATTAAGTTTGTGGCTTATCAGCTGTAGACTTAAAACGTTTCACTTCAGCAAGGTTTTTCACTTCATCATCTTCATCAACTGTCACAATTCCAACTGACGTGATGAAGTGCATTGAGGATAACTTTGACTGAAAGTCAGAAAAACATGAAAAATCGAACAAATCCAATAAATGTGACAATAATGTCAAAACGAATACATTGTGACCTTCATTTAAAAAAATGCACATGCGCTAGTATAATTATCTTGCAATAGAATTCATTGATACTTCTAATTGGACTAATTTGCCTTTAGTGTGCACTGTAACCTTGAAACAAACTGTGTGTGCGCGTTAGTTTGTGTACGTTTCAGAGGTCAACTTAAACCACATTACCTATTTAGCAGAGTTCATTTCCTCACATGGCCGCACTAAGCAGGTTTCTAAGAGGCTCCCTAAGCAGCTTTGTGGCGGTAGAGAATGAGGTGGAGTTGCCAGCTACTGAGACTGATTTCCATACCATAAGTCTAATGTAACATTGGAGTTACTTTTCTTATGTAGTAACTTAAATATGGTGATTCGCTCGGTAAAAAAGTGGACTGACTCATTTTTTCAGGCATGACTTTTCAGGCATTCCGGTGCAAGATCTGATTCGTTCCGACCCAAATTAAACAGCCTGATTCACTTTTTGTTTTGTTTTTGATCAAATCAGTTTACCACGAACTGATTATTACTTAAGATTAGATCAGATTAGATTCAACTTTATTGTCATTGCACAGGGTACAATTACTGAGGCAACGAAATGCAGTTTAACATCCAACCAAAAGTGCAAAATAGCAAAAAGTGCAGAGTATGTGCATATGTAAAGTGTAATAAGTGAATAAATAGATATGTACAGTAAGAAATAGTTATGCAATATGAACAGTAAGCAATGGATATGCAATATATATACTTAAGCGTTTCTGTTGGGTCGCTCTTAATACCATTTAGTTAAAGGTGCTACATTTTAATTACGAGCATTACAATAATAGCAGACAGCAAATGCAATGTAAATATAGTGTAGTAATATCAACCTGAGAGTGAATCACTCTCCCTCTGTGTGCTGTTAAATGAGCTTCAGCGTGAACGCTGTTAGTGCATCTTCATGCATATGTGTGCCCCCATGTGTTATTATTATTATTATTATTATAAGGCATTTGGAGGTCTTGTAAACAGGTCATAAATTCATCTCTAATATATATTTATGTTGCTGTGAAAACATCCCAAGCTCGTCTTTGAGTTCGGATCGGTGGTTTACAAGGGACCGTTATCAATGATAATGCCGATGACCTCATTGCTTAATTTCCTAAATATTGCTTGTCGGTAAAACGTTACTTTACACAGTTAGCTTTGGCTCACCCGTTGGCATGTTGAGAATCCATTATCCATCCATTTATTGGATGTCTGACCCACTCAATCCCACTTCCATCCATTAGGGAGAAAGAATTTGCTAAAAAAAAGTCTTTGATAGCAGTTGCTCACCTGTGTGCAGAACATTTTCCCATCTACACATGCAGAAGACGCTTTATGCGTCTTGTGTCCACGTGTACATGTGTGCATGTTTTTCAGGCCTCTTGACTGATTTACTCCTTGTTCTTTGCACAGTATCTGTATTCAGCAACTTGACCTTGTTTGTCTGTCATTTGTGTAGCTTTCTTACTGGAAAACTGCCAATCTGTCGATTATGGTGGCTCTCACTGAACAACACGGTATAGAGACTGCTGCTAAACCATGAGCTACAAGAGGCTAAACATGTACCAACTTTAGTATGTGTTGCACGTAGTGTGACGTCCCGTACAGGCAGTTTTTACTCCGTTAAATCCAGTTAGACAAGCGGGGCATTGATCCCACTCTGCTCATTGCCAGGTTGATAATAACCTTTTAAAGAATGTCTGCCTTGAGATCATTTTTAGTGCATCCACCCCTGAACTCCCCCCAGTGATTTTAAGTTTGACAATAATTAACTATATGGCCGCTGGACCTACCCGTTATGTCTATATATATGGCGTTATATTTGTGCCACAATCCTGAGCGCGTAATTTTAAGTTTTGAGCACAGAGAACTATGTTGTAGCAAAGAAAAACATTCCGTGCGCGCAGTTTACTGAGGTGCCCTCTCCACAAACTGGTTTTCTGCGCGCAGGCAGCGGTTGCTGCGCTCGCTCCACCTCTTCACTCTGCGCTCGCTCGACTTGCAGCAGCGTTACATTTGTGCCACAAAACCAACCAATCAGAGAATTAAAGAAGGTCCATTGTGATTGGCTGTTGGTCTCCAATCACAACGCTAGTAGAACTACCTACAGCATCGCGGAAGCTCAGCGAGTTGTTGAAGTTTGCAGCATTTGTGCTAAATGCTAATGGCCTGGAATAAAAACACTTGGGGTTCTCATCATTTGCTTCGGGCATGTCTGAAGGTGGCTAGACGGACTTCTAATATCCCTTCGTTTTCGTCTTCTTTAGGAAGCGTTGTGATTGGAGACCAACAGCCAATCAAAATGGACCTTCTTTAATTCTCTGATTGGTTGGTTTTGTGGCACAAATGTAACGCTGCTGCAAGTCGAGCGAGCGCAGCGTGAAGAGGTGGAGCGAGCGCAGCGTGAAGAGGTGGAGCGAGCGCAGCAACCGCTGCCTGCGCGCAGAAAACCAGTTTGTGGAGAGGGCACCTCAGTAAACTGCGCGCACGGAATGTTTTTCTTTGCTACAACATAGTTCTCTGTGCTCAAAACTTAAAATTACGCGCTCAGGATTGTGGCACAAATATAACGCCATATATATAAGGTTTTACGTTTTGTTTGCAAACTAATGTAAAGTGATATAATGTGTAATGGAAAGAATGCTGCTGAAACCAATTACACCATAGGTTCTTGTCTGCAGCAGGTAATTTACTGCCCATCCATTCAAGAGGTGGACTTTGGGGAAACAGATTGTCATACTAAGAAATTCATATTTCATACCTACAGTTTTCTATTTCTTTTCACAATCCCAAATTGGAATGTACCCTGAAACACCAACAGTTTCTGTGGGTATTATAACTAGGACAGGCACCAGGCAGTATAATATTAGCATCATCGGGTAAAAATTCCATAATCACAAAATTGTAATTCAAGTGGCCTAAGAGAACTAGACTTCTAAACCTACTCTGGGCTTTATAAAGTGTTTTTAATCTCAAGAGAATCTAGCAGGTCATTGCCGTTTCTGCAAAGACAGATGTGTGTGTGTGTGTGTGTGTTGCGTCCCTGCAAGGGATTTTTTATTAACCCACAATCAGCCCCCATAAAAAGTCAGATATCCTTGAAAATTAAATGTTATTTAGTGACTGTCGGTGCTGGATGGCTGCGCTTCTTCTGCAAATCACTGCACTTATGTTTATTATGTTTATTGTATGTGTGTGTGTGTATATATATATATATATATATATATATATATATATATATATATATATATATATTTTAGTAATTTGCAATTTATATGCAATGAAAAGGCGCATAAATAGCATCCATATGTGTTTGATTTTCCTTTAGGCACTCATACCATTAGACTTCCATGTCTTGCAAATCTTCTCATCCTCATCTGGTATCTCAGATCTTTATGTGAGCATCACCTCACTTTCACTGTATATCGCAGTTGTAGTGGCGCCCATCAGTGGGTAGACAATTCAAGAGTACACTTTTAATATGCAAGATAATTTGTTCCAAAATCACACAATAATTATAATTGCACTATAAAATTAAATAGTTAAACATGGAATTGAAAAGAACACATTTTCCCCATTCTCAGCTTAGGGAGTCATTATCAAACCTACAGTACCAGTCGAACGTTTTGGACACATTTTCTCATTCAAAATGAGAAAACCTTTGACTGGTACTGTATATCGGTGACTTGTCGGTGCATCTCTGCAAATCAGGACAGCCGAGCGGTATGCAGCGGGGCGTTTTGGTTCATGGCCCGCTGTGGCTTTGGGTTCAGCGGAAGATTTTCTGATATAATGTAATGCCAGCTGGGTCCGACTCGCAGGAAGAAAGTGGAGCGGCGCCAGCAGAGGGAAGAGGCGAGGTAAACTGTAAAGGAAAGTGAGATGCTTGTGATGGAGCCTCCAGCTGTGCACCACTGCAGACCTTTTCCTGCAAGGGAAATGAGAATGAAAAGTGTTGAGTACAATCTGCACGCAGATTCATGTCTTTAGTGCACCTTGACGAGAGGAGCGCTCACAAAACATTTAAACAATGAAACATTGTGTAGAGAAGGCTCACGCGTAGCACAAATGTCGTTAGAGATTTTAGAGTTGCACATCTTTTGCTAATCGGTCACAATTATGAGCAAATTCATCACATAATGGACGGGTTGACAGAGAGACAGGTGGCACTTATATTTGTTCAGCACTGAAATGTGAGTTATTGTTTCTCAGACTCGCTGCCTGCAAGAGCTTCTCACTGTAATGGCTCGGCATAAAGCTGCAGGCGCCGACATTGGTTGACCCGAGGACGGTTCCTATTTCTAGACTTTATTTATTTGAACTAACTTCTTTGAATGGTTTAGTATTCAGGTAAGTCAGATCAAATACTTTACAGTCATGATGAGGGAATATTCGCTGAATCCTCTTACCAAATGGTTTCATTTATGACATGAAATACACACTGAAAGCAACAAGGTGGAGAGTCTGTGTGATTATTACATTGTGTGATCTTTAGTTACACTTAACTAAGCCAGGGTTTATATAATTACTGCAGATTGAACATTAACTAAGAAATTATGCAATGAAACACTTCAGTTCGTGCGTAACAGGTGACGAGAAGTAAACCTTATATTTAAACGCGATTGAATAGTTTACACTTTATATTAGGAAGTAACAAAGAATATTTGTAAATAATTTAGTTACACATTTACACATCATTTTAGTCCTTAAGTAGTTTCATTTTGATTATGCTGAATAGTGAACACTAAAATGTGTTAGTGTATTCATCAATAGAAATGTTTGGTCAATGAATAACGGTACTACGCAGAATTTTCTTCTTTTTACATTTTTCATAAATCTTACAGAACATTCAACAACGCTACAGGCTACAAGTCACTTTCAATTAAAGCTGACGACACGAAGCCACAAAGTCACGCTGCACACTTCTCACTGTGTGACAGACGGGCTATAAATCAGAAAGTTGAGCGAAACATTTTTCTGTGCTCCGATCATGCTGTGAAGTGTCAATCAATCATAAGTCTTTGCTTCTTGGGGTTCCATTCCATCTAAAAAACGAAGAATGGCTTTAGTCTGTTCCCAGTACAACATGATGTTATTCCTCAGATCACGGTGATCCGTGATAAACAAATTACTTGCTTGATTATATCGTGGTTTATCGTTGTTTTTTAGCGTTCCAGGTTGAACCAATGATGCATCTGCGTCATGTGGGAATTACAGTGGTCTGTTTTATTTCAAGGGCAGAGGAACGTCTCCTTCAAAAGAAACACGACATATTCTGCGTTTTGCAGTTCTTGCTTACACCCGATATTACATACATTATTCAGTGATCCACTTTCATATTCAGCTTTTAATCATGTATGTATCATTTTACACTTTTATAATACATTTTATATGTTATGGGGAAAGAACAAGTATGTTTTCCCCCCCCAAAAAAAGTAATGTCTTGTTTTCATCAGAACCTATAGACTGATGGATTGGAGAGGCGTTTGGTTGATGGACTCTTCAATCATCCAGCTCAGCTCTTGAGCTTCGTCCATCAGATTTAAGCCAGAGCGTCAGCAGCACCACAAACAAAAGAGCAAGATCAGACAAGGTTATCACCCCAGATCTCCGTGAGAGGTCATCGGGAATCCGCTTAACCTGGGATCTTGCAGCTAATGAGAACTGTGTGTCCCCCTTTCATGGAAATCACTGCAGATTATTGAAGAGAGGACAGTCACAAATCTGTGGAAGGTTATTTACCATAGGTGAAGGGAGCTGACTGCGCAGCAGCAATGCCATGCTATGATATATAGCTCGCATACATACATTGTGCAGTGATTAACTGCCCAAGACACATCATTCAGACGAGGACACAACATACTTACAACATACCTTTCATACGTGCACATTCCCTGTACATTCCCTGCTAGTACATTAATTTGTCTTAAAACACACATGTTTGGTACCTGCACATTAATCTGGAATAGTTGTCTACTTTAACGAGAGGATGGAGATGGAACAGCATACTTTGCTGCATTCCCCTCTGCCATAAGATGCATGGATAATGCGTTCATCTGTAGTTCATCCACTTGCTGTGGACTTATTTAGAATAAAAAAAAAAGGATAAGACACACTTTTTTGTCAGAACAGCAGATTTCTACAATCTAAGGATCATTTTCCCTTAATAAGGCTTTTGTTTTTGAATTTTTGTCAAAACAGCACATACGTTTTTATTCACCTTTTGCACTCTTAATCCTCTGAATCCTTAAAAAATAAAATAGCTGTTTACTAACTTCTTTCTCCAACGTTTAGAACAAGCTCAGTCAGCACTCCCATTTCAAAAGGAGATGTGGCGCATTTGCAATTTAAAGGGATTTTCTAACAAAGTATTTTTTCTCCTCAATGGTTTCCTCATTAAGAATAGACCTCACACATATAACGATGAATTGTACAGTGAAGCTTGACATTACTTCTCAACTTCTCAGTGAAAATAAATCATTAAAGGGTTGGATTCCTCACAAGACATCCCCCTGTTTTTCCTCTGCTATGTTACAGCGGTGATATCGCGGAGCCATGAAGGTCCGGGGGAGATGGGCAAGGCCGTAAACATCCCCAAGGACAGCCAGGAGAAAATGAAGGAGCTATTTAAGATCAACCAGTTCAATCTGATGGCCAGCGACATGATCGCCCTCAACAGGAGTCTGCCGGACGTGAGGCTGGATGGGTGCGTCAGCTCGGGCGTCTTCAAGATGCATGTTGTGAATCACACCACTGGCGCTTTTAACACCGTAACACGCCTGACAGAGCAGCATTACACAGTCCGTCGTCCTGCAAACTTTACTGCCTTTTATGCCAGTCGCACATTCCACGGCGCCGGCGTTTCTATATCAAAAAGATGACATTACGGCTAATGCTTTCTCCTTCTTTCGTCGTTATTTCTAAATACTCTTTATTATTATTTAGATGATTAGAGTAATTCTAAGACTGTTCATTTAGTCCATTAGTTTTTATTGGTCTTCATAACTTTATCTAATGTGAAAGGACATCTCTAATTCTGGGCACCATTTCAATGCGGAATTTCTGGTGTGTACATTAGGCCTGACATTAGAAGGGGAGGGAGGTTTTGTTTACTGTCACTCAAAATCCATTCCAGCTCCTAATGAAAATCCAAGGAGCAATTTGTGTGAAACATGAGCTTGATCGTCTCAGGCGGCTGATGTGCACCGACTTTTGCCTCTTTCAGAGGCATCACCAAGTGATTCATGTTTAAATATTCCAACCGAACGCAGTTCTCCACAGCACTTTCATTAAGTATCTGCCAGAGGCTCTGCCACTCAGATACACAATGAGGAATGGGACACGTTGAATGTCTTTTTTCACACCTACGTTACGCAGATTTGTATGCAAATCTTGCCTATCCCAAGAAAACACCTTCTCTGAGACTTTGCAAATATACATTTCCCCTGCAACGTGTGAAAGAAGACCTATATTACTCCAAAAAAAGTTATTATTGCAACAATTTCTATATGCATATTTTTCTCAACATAAATATCCCAGCGGTTGTGTTACAGAACACAGCTTTTCTTTGCTTGGTAAGTGACTGTGACCCGTGCAGAGGGGCCAGTCTGCTCCTTTTGGGGGAAGGAACATTCTGTCCCTTTTCAGCTGAATTGTAGTCATTTGACTTCTGTCTGTACTTGAGGCTTGTGTTGACGATTTCTGTATTCTTATGATTTTTCCTATATTCTAGTTATCATAAGCGAGTCTCTGATACTTTTGATTTCTCACAAGGGGAAAATCCACAATTTCCACCACAGTCGCCTGTGAAAAACAGTAACATTTTGTCCCGCGGGGGAAACCTACTGGCCCAGTTGTGTCAGTCAGTGCTGTCACTTTGAATGGACGTGACCGAACTAGCAACGCTTTCTACTCCCGACGGCTTCCTTTAGCCTCCCACCTACACCTCCTCCTGCCCCGGTCATCCACCTCCTCCTCTTCTGTAATGCAGCTCATTCATTATTCAACATCAACCACGCCGACGGCGGCAAAAATGTCACACATTCTCACTCTTTGGCATTGACGGCCCGGCCGCCGAGTGGACGTGCTGACATGGCTGTCAACGCCGGTTTGACTTTTTCTAACTTTCTTTGGAGATATTTGTCAGTGAGCGTATGACGCATAATACACTAAGAGTCTGGGAGTAGAAAACCCATGTGACTACCGCAGGAAAACAACACCGTTGTCTTAGACCAATATATTGAGACTGGGTATTTTTTAGGGTAAGGCATCGTTTAATTTAGTTTGGCTGCTTAAATGGATTTTTATTGGTTGAAATGATTCATTATTTATTTTTTGGTCATTAACATTCATAATTAAACACGGTACAAGAAGCAAATGTGTGTGATTCTACGGGATTAAAGGGTGATATGTCACCAAAAAGCTTTTTTATTTCATATGGTTATAGTTAGAGTGGGTTCTAGTTATAACAATCTGCTAATACTTTAAAACAGTGGTTGCAAACCTTAGACCTGGCAGGAATGTAAGGGCGTATAATGAAGTAATCATGGATAGTGGAATTGCTATTCGACTCGAACTCAGACAGCAGATATGCGATTTATCTCGGGAAGTTATAAATAGACGGGGCGTCATATTAGACTTTCTTCACACCTGTAGCTCAGCGATACTGGCGGTTTGACTTTGTTCAAGTCCACTTCCCTGATTTGATTTGATTTTTTTTTTCAGCTGTAAGACTAAGCTGTACCCGGATGAGCTGCCAAACACCAGCATCGTCATCGTGTTTCACAACGAGGCGTGGAGCACCTTGCTGCGGACGGTTCACAGCGTCATCCAGCGCTCGCCCAGACAGTTGCTGGTGGAGATCGTCCTCGTCGACGATGCCAGCGAGCGAGGTTGGAAATCTACACTCCGTAGTCGGGGATAGTCGGGATGTGCATTTTCAGCTGGAACATGCTGATGATCACTGCAAACGAAATGGCACACAGAACTCTGCAATTAACAATTTGTGTTTGTAATTAATCAGTCGATTATATTCTTGATTCGTGACATTCAAGATAACACATTTCAATACCGACATTTCAATCCGAAATATTTTAAAATGAGACTTTAATTTAGAAAAATTACAACAATTCTCAAAACTGAGAAACAACTCTGTTGAATTTAACTCCTCTACAAGTGCACTTTTGCTAAAATGTCTGTTGTTTTGCTTTCAGACTTCCTGAAGAGGAAGCTGGAGAACTATGTGCGGACCCTGGAGCTGCCAGTGAGGATCCTGAGGATGGAGCAGCGCTCGGGTCTAATCAGAGCCAGGTTGAGGGGGGCCGCCGCCACCAAAGGGCAGGTCATCACCTTCCTGGACGCTCACTGCGAGTGCACCGTCGGCTGGCTGGAGCCCCTGCTCGCGCGCATCAAAGAGGACAGGTAGGAGACAAAATGGACCCCAGTGAGCGGCTCAGATGGAGCGACGACGTTGAACTGATAACTGATTTAAGTCTCATGATGTTCTCATTGTCGGCCAGTTTCATCTTTTGCCTGAATCATGGTTTAACAGCACGGGCACTATCGCATTTCACTTCATTTGCACCATGGAATGCTTGAGCCCAACCTCCGTCTGAATATTGATGGGACAGCAAACTATGAGTCATGAATACACCGTCGGTTCCGGACGCTGCTGATGGGAGAAGATGGTCACTCTGCATCGTCGGCTTCTGCTGCTGCCCGAGATAAAAAGCTCCAATTACTGTAGCTTCATTTTCTTGCTAAAACTTGAGCCAGTAGAAACTGGTTAATACAAGATTAAAGTGGACATGGGTATTTTCAGAGACAAATAAGACTTTTTAAAGTTTAAAGTGGCAACGTGTTATCCATCAGGTCATTAGCTATGTTTTGAGGGTCTTTTAAACAAGGTTTATGCGGGGTGTATTTATGAGAATGTGGATGGAATCTGCTGCGATCTCTCTCATATCTGAGGTCAGACACATTCATTTTCCCTCAGGAAGAAACCAGTATCATGTGACTCAGACTATTATATCATGGAGCCATTACGCTTTAACTGAAGGCTGCTGTACGTTTATGGATGTCGATAAATGTGGCTGCAGACTGATGAGATGGTGCAGAGAGAAAGTAATCACACAGCCAGTTGAATTAATTGATGATGCAGGATGTTTTGGTGGATGTCAAGAAGGGTTGGAAGGACCTTTTATAATGAAGTTTGGAAAAAAAATTCCAATTCTAAGAACAACAATATCACCTTATAGCAGGTCATTTGCTGCCTTTCTCTGTGTAACATCGTTGTGATTGTTTGCTCCGTCTGCCAAAAACAAAACAAGAGATTTGAAGATGCCTTTTTAGAACGATGCAAGTCCATTTATGTTCTCCTCTACTCAAATTTTCATAGAATGAGATAAGATAATCCTTTATTAATCCTGCTGCGATGAAATTCACAGGATTTGCAGCAGCGTAGATTAAAGTGCAAACAAGACAGTGAAATAGAAACAAGATCAAAAACGTATTAAAAGTATTAAAATAAGCAATATTAAAATAACAATGAAATCACAAATCCACAGTAAGGACAGTGACTATATAGTGTTATTGCACAGTGTGTTTACAGGATTTGAGAGATTCAAGTGTTCATTGTCATTGATTTCATTAATCAATAAGTGATTTAAGTGAACATCCAGCTCAGTGAAAATCTTCCAGCTATTCTTTCCACAATGATAAATGATAAATCTACAAAATAATCCATGATACAAATAACAATTGGATGTAGTCCCGTAGAGCTCCGGCTCACCCGCTGTAACCTGTTTGTAAATCCCTGTCCTTTGTGTTTTGTATATTTGTGAATAAGCATTGAACCTCACGTTGTGTTCTTTCGTGTCCTCCAGGTCAGCGGTGGTGTGCCCCATCATCGATGTCATCAGCGACGAGACGTTCGAGTACATGGCCGGCTCCGACATGACCTACGGGGGATTCAACTGGAAGCTGAATTTCCGCTGGTACCCAGTTCCCCAGCGCGAGATGGACCGACGCAAGGGGGACCGGACTCTGCCCGTCAAGTACACAAACAAAACGTCCTCCTTCAGAGCTCTCCATCGTTTGTCAGAGGACCAACTGTTCACTTTTGCCACGTATTTTGATTAACGATTCGAAAAATGAGGTCTAATGACACAAGATAAGTTGATCGATGTTGGTTGTCAGCAGGCTACAGCGGAGACGTGGAGAGTTTGTTTCTCCACCCAAATTCGTTTTTTATCAAAAGGGACATTTTTATCCTGCTGATATAAATAGATCTTCTTTCCCCTGCGTATGCCACTGATGAAAAACATCCGCCTAAATTGTCTCCTGCTGCTTTTGATTGTGCTCTGTTGAAGCCCAAGTATGTATGAGCTCATTTATTCTAAAAAAAGAGAAACACAGAAACTCTACTGACAGTTGCCTTTTTTTAGGCTACACAAAGCTAAGCACAATTTGTCATCTGTATCATGCAAATCACTACCGGCAACAAACAAAATTCTTAATTAGGGGCCGACTTTAACATAGAAGGAATTAAAAGATGAAAGTAATCGCCCCTCTGAGGCTTTGTTTCAAATTGTCCAACAAATTGGTCTTTTGTTATCTTCTTAATGTAACTACGTAACTAATACTCATTTTTCAAAAGGACGGTTTTGCTTTTGTTGCAGGACTCCGACCATGGCAGGAGGATTATTCTCCATAGACAAATCATACTTTGAAGAAATCGGCAGCTACGATCCGGGGATGGATATTTGGGGTGGAGAGAACCTGGAAATGTCCTTTCGAGTAAGTGACTGGAGAGGATTCGGTTGTTGATGCATCTCCATTTAAGATTCAATTGAGGGATTCATAAGGAAATGCAGGGAAAGAGGATTCCTTGTAATACATGAGATGTCTTTACCTCTCAAAAAAACGGCACAATCATTTAGTTACGCTTAGAATTTCTTCACATTTCCATGTTTTGATGGGAAAAGGGGAAAAAATGTGATGGGACAGTATAAGGATTTTATTGCTGATTGCGATTTAAACACAATCACAATATTGTCTTATGGAATGACTTTGCTATTATGGTAGAACGGTTTAAAATGTATATCTTATGTAACAAAGAACAGAATCCCAATTGCTGCCACTTATTTATGCATTTATCATTTATTTATGCAGGACTTCGTGATTACCTTATAATTTCCTTGTTTTTTTCACAATGGGTCCTATCTGTAAAAGATGTGTTTGATTCTTAAAACAAACTCATGATTGAACGTTTTAATGCCATTTTAAGCATAGTTCAACTTGTATATTGAGTTGCAATTGCATGTTTTTCTAAGCCTGGTATGTTATTATTTACTCACCTAGAATTGCAAAGTGATTCATGTGTAGGTTAATGTGGGATTGAATGGAAATGACAAAGATGGCAGCGGTGACAATTTACTAGATTACGTCCTGACTAAAGACCCGCTCCGTCTCCTGGACCATGAAATAGAGGTTAAAAGAGAAACTAGAGATTTCACAAAGGAACCTCTTTGTGAATGATGAAACCCAGGATAAAGTTGTTTATTGCTTTTTTTCTTAATCCGGTCTACCGGTGATACACATCCACTCTTCATCATAATTCGATGTTTATCAAGAAAACACATGAAAGTGTTTGGGAAGAACATGGTTTGTCTGTTTACACCTCCCTGCTTGCAGATTAAGAGCATCGATACAACGCTCTTAATCTGAATCTGAACCCACCGTTCGGTTTGTATCGAAATGTATTTTTCTGCTCTCATCCCTCTGCGCTACATAAAGCTCCATTGTTTTGAATGTGTCTGCAGATTTGGCAGTGCGGCGGCTCCTTGGAAATAGTAACATGTTCCCACGTGGGCCACGTCTTCCGGAAGGCTACCCCGTACAGCTTCCCCGGAGGAACCGGCCAAGTCATCAACAAAAACAACAGGCGCCTGGCCGAAGTCTGGATGGATGATTTCAAAGACTTCTTCTATATCATATCACCAGGTACGGAGCTGTGAAGCCCCTTTCTGGCTGCACCTTTCCACCTCTGGAATGATAGTAATAGACGGCCGATGCCAAATGAATTCTGCGTGTTTTTAAAGTTTCAGTCGGCTCAGTCGGGGATTTAAAAGACGTTCACCCCCCCGTTTGCTGCTCGCCGATACGACATCCAGCAAATCGGTTGGAAGAGGAAAGACTCGTCCGCTCTATTTGATCCTTTCATTGTCTCGCATAGGACTTTTATCTTGCTCATTTACCAGTGAATCCCCACATTGGAGTTGAGTGCAGCATTAGCCATCTTGAAAGCACGATTAATTCAGTTCTACTTTCAGACGCACTTGTAACTGAACTTTGAAAAGAATAATTTCATGGTTTCATATCCATCACAGACTTCTCTTAGCCAAAGCTCACACACACACACACACACGGACAAACTAGAACAATAGGACAGTGCAGATTGATATATGCCAACCTCTCCATCTGTCGACTTGTTGTTGTCATTACCCCTCAGCAGACAGATATCTCTGGTCAGTTGTTTTAACCTGTGAGGGATCATCCGATGGTCTGCCGGCCTCGCGGCTCAAATCGAGACCTTCTCCTCCTCGCGGTCGCGCGGGCCAAGGTGTGCACTGCATACGGAGCCGTGGGGTTGTGATGGATGAGTCTGTCTGTCTGTTTTGTGGCCCTTCAAAGAGCGTCTGTTCCTCCAGGAGAGCAGGGAGAATGATCTGGGCCATGCTGCTGCCAGACCTCACTTTTTGGCAGGCGGAGGAAGGCGGTGTGTTGCTCGGGTCGAGGTTGGGAGTGGCATCCTGTGATCCAATTAAAAGTGTATCTCCCTCCTCGTCTCTCGTGCGCTCCGGTGACTTGAAGATCAAAGAGGTTTTTCATCATTTGCTGCACGTGATGCACAGAATCAACAGAGAGAGGGAAAGATAGAAGAAGAAGCGGAGAACCAGCAGAGGAGGAGTGTCCTTCAGAAATGTCTATTTCTCGGTTTAAATTGTAAAACCTTGTAGCTGCAACAAAAGTTGCTGTTTGCACTGCCCGGCCCGTGTTTGACGGTTAATGTGTTGTATTTTCCCTCATTGCAATCCCACCCTTTCATAATTGATTACCACCTTGGATCTATATCTACATGCAAGCCATGAATCCTTAATTCTGGAGAGAATCCATCCATATGCGTAAGTGTCTGTGCCCAGTCGCAGTATAATCCTCTGTCTTCGGTTGCATCAAGGCTGATACATTATGAAGTTCCCTTGTTGGCTAAAATAACATGCATCATGGCACACAGTACTCCACAATTGCTGCATTGTTGCATTTCTGAAAGAGCTCTGAAAATATACTGTTTTGAATTAGCTTCCTCACACCTCCTTGTTGGCGAAATTAGGTGATTTCAGTGTCTGTATGTGGACGAGGTCCTTCTCTCACAACCCACGCTATTTTCTTTCAAAGTGTTTTTTTAATTTCTCACTTGAGTGGTTAGTCCTGATGGTGCAGGACATTATGCCTGGTCCTCTATTTTGTGGAGTAAAATATGTAAATACTGTAACAAACTGGCTGACTATGTTCACCGACGCATACATCTGAATCCTTGTCTCGACGTCTCACCTGCAGGTGTGATGCGCGTGGACTACGGAGACGTTTCTTCCCGTAAAGACCTCCGCGGGGCCTTGAAGTGCAAGCCGTTTGCCTGGTATCTAGAAAACATCTATCCGGACTCCCAGATCCCAAGAAGATACTACTCACTTGGTGAAGTATGAGCCTTCTCGTACTCCTGAGCCCCTATGATGCAGCAAAATGATAGAAGCAGGCTGCCTTCATCCGCATTCAGTGAGATGTGTCCTTGTATCGCTGTGAGATACTTCAGAAAAACAAACATCCTGCTGCTGCTTATATTGGACGTGTAGGATAAACAAACCACGGTATTGATGTTTACACAGTTCTGCTGTGAATGCTGGGCAGCAGAGATAATGCTGGTGCTTACATTCTACGCAGTGTGGCAAAAATGATTTATTCAGGACAAAGCCGAATAAAAAACCCTGGACAATTTTTGTCGGATGATCACTTTAATAAGCGATTTAATAAGAGATGGAACTTACAAAGTAGTTTCCTTAGAAATCAGTAAGGGGATTTGTGGGAATTATGCGATAATTTGCTGCTAAACCGAGATAACTAATTGATTGTTTTCGAGATAATTCCTTTCATTAGTTAGTTTCCATGCACACAGAAAAGTTTCTGAGTGACCTGGTTTTGCCTCCCGATGCCCGCGGCGTCGCCTCGACAGCACCGACACGCACCGGGCTGCCTGTACAATAGTAATGTCAGCTGAAGAACGCATGGCGATATGAGCTTGTAATCTCCCAACATTCATACAGCTGAGGATGAGAGGATTTTAATTTGTTCTGCTCTGCTGCAGTACAAGCTGAGTCTCTCTCTCTCTCTCTCTCTCTCTCTCTATCCACTGCAGCACCTCAGCTCTCCTCTAAAGCAGACCTCTCCCAGCTGATTATCATCCTCCATAACACACAGTCAGCAGTTCTTCAACAGCTGAAACCATTAGGTTTTATATCACTTCATTATGAACGCCGTTCTGTTCCTGCGTGATAGCCATGATAAGACGCTCTGGCACATATAGAGCAAGCGCAGTTTTAGCTCTGAATGTAGAAGTTCTATATTATACATACTATTATATTATATATCATATTAACATGATCTGGTGACACAATGTATGTGATAAAGCAGATTTCAAAGGCCTCCAATAACACTAACAACTACACTGGAAACCAATTTTGCCGATGAATAATTCCCTTTTCATAAGAAAAACAAAGCAGGCTCGCATTGGCTTTAGTTTGGTTTAGTTGCGAATGAGTATTTCAAATGAGAGTTAAAGTAACTGTTGAATTGTTTTTATCCCCTTTTCCCGATTTTCTGCCTCTAGATCAGAAATGTTGAGACCAACCAGTGTGTGGACAACATGGGAAGAAAGGAGAACGAGAAAGTTGGCTTTTTCAACTGTCACGGCATGGGAGGAAACCAGGTGAGGAATGTGTTCAGTCTGTAGTCTGGATCTGCCTTTTCAACTACATGCACACAAGGTGTTCTGAACACGTTCTTTAGGAGAATAGTGTTTTATGAGCGGAATTTATAACCTTGTTTAGATTGAACAAGCGAAGGCTTTGTTACTTTTAGATGTGTGTGGGCTCCATGCTGTGGATCATTGTGAAGGATGGTTATTCCTTAAGGCCAAGAATTATTGTTCCCTCTTGAAACTGGGACATTGTGTGTGAGCTGCACTCAGTAAAATGATACACAAATGTGGACAAGGGCGTAGATGGCACTCACACCCCTCACTTTGTACAGCAACTAAAAAAACATAAATAAATAAAACCACAAATAAGTATCAATAAGTATGTGCAACTCATTGACATATCGTTGTGTCACAGACACTGTGCAGCACGTTTCTAGCTGTGCTGTTGATGATTTGATTTTCTGAGAGAGACATCTGGCTTTCCAGGTGTTTTCTTACACGGCGGATAAAGAAATCAGGACAGACGACCTCTGTCTGGACGTCTCCCGCCTCAACGGACCCGTCATCATGCTCAAGTGTCACCACATGAAGGGGAATCAGATGTTCGAGTATGACGCCGAGGTAAGGTCCAAATTCCCGCAGCAGCCAAATATTTCAAAACCAGGCTGCTGTCGTGTGCCGCTGATGAAACGGTTTGTTATTTGTGCCATTTGGGTGGATTTGGGTGGATTTGGGTGGATTTGGGTAGTGAGAAGTGGGAGAAGCAGTGTACTCTTACCGCCACCAGGTGGCGCCGCATGTCAGCTGTTTCAGCCGCACAGAAGTTACTTTCTCCACTACAGCATCTGTGTCTCTCCTCTCACGTTCTCTCCTTCCACTTAGTATGTTGGCAAGTGGGATTATGATTTTGAGGTAAGCGGTTCAAGTCATCGCCCCTGATTGTTGCTCCATAGTCCTGTGATTCGGGTGTTGTGGTTTACCCCCCCCACCCCTCCACCCCCCGTAAGGTGTCAGTAGACTAGATCGTTCACGTAATCGTCTTTGTGGAGGGCTAAAATGTTACATTTGAGACACATTTTATTTAACATTAACATTACACATTATTATAAAAAATGTTAATAAACTTAAAAAGCCTCTAAAACCAACGCAGTCTAACAGAACATATTCACAAAACATAACAATAAAATACATATTTTTTTATATATATATATTTTATAAAGGTGATGGTCCAAGTGTATTTTCACTGTGGAGGGTGTAGTTTGTGCTGCTATTCTCATATTTAATCCACCATATTATTATATAATACATTATATAAATTGATAATAGAAACACCTGCCTGTCAGAAAAACAATCCCAATGCATTCTGCATTGTTTTGTGGCACATTAAATAGCTTATGGTCTGTACAATTCACTGTGGCAAGACACTGTATTTACAAAGCATACAAATGTGTGAGTGACTCATTGTTTATTTATAGTGGCACCGACGTGAAAAAAACAATTAGATGACTGTCAAAGCCTAAGAGAACTGTTACGGTTTTATTATTCCTGGTTATGCAAGCTGTAATATTCTTACCATGACATTATTCAATGAAAGATGGAAACAGCATAAAGACATTTTGAATCCCCTAAGACAACAAAAATATTCTCCTCAAGCCCTGCTGACTCAGAACTCAAAGCACATTTGGGATTATACAACACTAAAATCTCTTATATCAACAATTCATGAGCCGGTTAGAAAGAACTGCACTGAAAACAGTGCTATTTCTCAGCGATTGAGACGTCCTGCCGCTGACACGTGGATACGACAAGGAGAGGAAGCCGGGAGGTCTTTCCGTCAGCGGCGAACAAACCCTACGAGAGATCCGTTCATTACACAGTGTTCTCTGGGTGTATTCTTAATACGGAGGAACGCTGAATATTTCATAGAGTGAGAGGACTGGTCTCTGTGGTAAACGGCACTGGGCGGGTCACCGCTCACAGTGGCCGAGATTATTTTAAGCCCAAGTGTGATGGACAGGGACGGAATCCTGGTGAACTCCAGAGCCATTAACGTTTCATCTGCTCATCAGTTTCACGTCCACAGGGACACCCGACCCGTCCGTATTCCTGATGTGTTCACAACCATGACTGTTCCCCCCGGTGTTGTTCACGACTGGCCCACAACCAAGACATAATGCAAATACCGCCTTCACTTAATATAAGTGGAGAGGGGTAAGATCCTGGCGTTAACAGCTTGCAACCCTTCATCATGTAACGCCATTACATTACATTACATTCGTGCTTCCTGACGCTATTTACAAATCTGAAACTGACCCCACAGTTTGTATCGACTCCTTGAAAGAGGAAGCAAATACATTTTAGTCAAATCATAATACATGTTTATTGAACTTTAGCTCTCTGATTCAACTGTCATAAAGAAAAAAAAAAAACAAACAGAAGCACAAAAATAACTGTTCGACTGCCTTAACGTCACCACCACCTGTCCCCCCCCCCCTCCGCTCCCCCTCCCCTGGCTCGCCGCAGAAGAACACCTTTCTCCACATCATCACCCAATCATGTCTGACCATCAGCCGCCTGGAGGACGGCACCTACGGCCCGACTGTGGAGCAGTGTAGCAAAAGTCCCAAGCAGGCCTGGACCCTGCACAACTACACGCGTCTGGAGGTGGCCAGGCGCCTTTACTTCAGTCCCACTGATTACTTTCTCTGAGCTGGGGGGCCCGAGGTGAGCAGGTCAGCACCAGTTAGGCTGAGAGCAGAAGCTGCTGGTCGGTAGTGACGTAGTTTGTCGTGAGCGTTGTTAGGAGTAGATTAGTTTGAGCCATTCGGGCTTCAGTAGCACCTTTTGTAGTTGTTATTAGCTAAAATGTCTTGTTTAAGTCGCTGAGGGCTGAGGAATGCCGAGCTTGTTGTCACGATATTTCATGTAGTAGTCGGAATATAACATGCAAATTGTTTTTAGGAGGCACTAAGCAGGTTTTACCGGTGACCTTTCAGGAGGAGCGTATGAAGCCACATGGCGCAATGACAAATGTCCCATCAAGATGGTTCTGTGTATAAGACGCTATCTGCGAGACCTTTAGCCAATCTCCACGCCAAATCAGATCTTATTTGACATTTATTTTCCAGCACAAATCATTTATTTTGATGTGAAAATCCACCGGCTGCCCCCGCCGTGTTTATTTTTAGCCGACTATCTATGTGCGGACTAATTGAAATGGGCCTACCATTGTCTGTAAGTTCTTTTGAAGTGATCCTCCATTGTGAACCTGCCTTTCATGGTCCTGGCCTCTCAGGCCGCTCTCCCATTGGTCTGCAGCAGCTGTGTGCGCATATTGTAAACCCAATGAGTCCAAATAATCAGTGCTTTGCACCACTCGGCCTCTGCAGCTTATTTACATGCTTTTGTAAGGAACATTTTTTTGGGGAGCTCAGCCCATTTTTGTCATATCCGTCGCTTGATCCAATTTTTTTTTACCCTTTTCCGTTCCAGTTATATCCCATTTGCAACTTAAGAGACCTGCACTCTCGTGCCCCTCCAAAAAAAAAAACAAGGAGCAATTTCGCTGTAGCTCGCCACAGTCTTTATGTGCAACCGGGGTAAATTGGGTAAGGAGCTCCCATGGCTGCCGGGGTGTGTCGGGGGTTGCGGCAGTAGAGTGACCTGCTGTTAGATGGCCTGATTTGCTGTTCACGCTCGGAGGACCTCGTGCTACGGCCATCACCGGAGGAGAGCAAGTACACGAGAGCCAATGAGACGGTGCCTGACTCTGCCTTGAGACAAAGGGAATCTACTGCTTTTGTGTTTCCCCACAGAAAAAAAAGCAAAAAAGCAGCAGCGCTGCCTTCTAGAACACCCGAGTCATCACAAAATCACGCCAAACAGGAAGCACGCTCTCTGGGCTTCTTGGTGACAAAAGGATATTGCTCCTCAACCGGGACTTTAATTAGCCGGCCTCAGCTGTGCACACACTTGCGGCGGAGACGCTGGTTGCTTTGCTGGGAGGCTGCGACGGGAGTTTTCTCTTCTTCCCCAAAGGAGGCATGAAATAATTACGAGCAAAGGACAAGACCTCAAGATTTCTAGTATTTTCATTAAATGTGGAATATTTTTTCCACCCCCCCCACACACCGTCACACAGGTCTGGATCTTTAGACGAAACAAAATGAAAAAATACAATTCTCATTATTGCCTCAGCCCGGTTCTAGTGACTGATGGATTAGATCTACTGCCAAGAAGAAAATAAGCCTTGAAAATACACGTTATTTAGCTAACAAGATGCTGTTAGAAATGAAATACTGTGACAAAGCAAGGCGGAAATGATTGTAACTTTGAGCTACCTTTATTCTTTTTGGCTGGTGTGTAAGGTTCGAAAGTCACCGGCTCTCTTTGTTCTTGTTCTGTTTGAACAAATGTGCCCTCTGTGTGTGTGTGTGTGTGTGTGTGTGTGTGTGTGCGCACACTCCTTTGTATCTAGGCAGAGAACGTCCGACCCTGGTGTTTTATAGCTTGAGATAAAACGCGGCCTGAGCGTCTCTGTGTGCTCATTAGTCTGAATATCCTCAGTCAACAAAGCACAATCTTGTTTTAATGAAGAATTACTCCTCAAACGAAAAGACACATAAAGCCACTGCTAATGTTCTAATGCTGCGTGCAGACTTTGTTCATAGACTTTCACAGTTAGAAAATTGCTCCTGAGATAACAGTCCACCTCTTATTTCGTTATACTTTCTGTTACAAGTTTACTTTTAAATCCCTCTGCTTTCAAACTTCACAAAGCATAAATGCGTCTCGTTTGTGGCTCTACCGAATAGTTCAAAGCGCCGTTTTTATTGTTGGCATCCGGATTCTAGATCAACATCCACTCGCTAAAGGTCAGGCCACATTAATATTATTATTATGCGTTGTGTAGAACTAGATTACGGCGGTGGCTGTCTGGGATTGTTTGCGCCTTGTGTGATCCAAACGCATTCTCCCCCAGCGCGTTGTGAAGTACAATAGTATCTCACAAAATATTGAGCTTCATGTGCGTTTGTTGTTTAGCCCCTCAAACACAACCTTTTCACAGCTGTCAAGCTGTTTGCTTTGCCCCTTGTCTCAAACAAACGCACCAAGGACTGTTATTTATTAAGAAAGGTTTATTTAAAAAATAGAAAAAAACTGACTGCTTCAGGATGAGTTCATAGGATAGAATATTTGAATGTACAAAAGTCCTAGTTTTATTAGCACCTACAATTTTATCTTAATTTCTCCGGTTTATCCCTTTCCATTGTTTTCTGCTTTGCCTAAAACCCAAGTGAGCAGTAAAAATTGCGGATGCGTGTAACTGCTGCGGCGATGCACATAAACGGTTAATCGAAGCCCGTATCCAACCGGCGCAGCTCCCTTCCAGCCGGCGGTGGTGGATGATATCTGCGGAGCCTTGGTGGCGGGTCGCCAGAGATTTTGTGTGGTGCTCGCCGTCTGGACAGTTTTAGAAGAGCTTGTTCTTGTCTTCTGACTTTTCTGGTTTGTGTGTGAGTGTGATAGAAGAGGGAACAGACAGAAGGGACGATGTGGGGAGTTTGTGCAGCACAGCCGTTTGAGAGGACGTGGTTTACTTAAAATAACAGGGCTGTTTGAGGTGAGAAGTATTTAAATCCTAATCCACCTTTAAGGAAAATGACTCCCGTCATCTGAGACACTTGTACTCTTATTTAATAACTGGCAATTATATTGATGAAAGAGTTGGAGGATGAATTGGTGTGACGATCAGCCGAAGGTGTAACTAATAAGGTGTAAATAAACCAAAAGGCTGTGTTCTATTAGTGTGCCAGTGAAAAATGATCCATGTTATCTCCTTTAAACCTTTTGTGACTGTGAAGTGAAAATGTTATTTTTCGACTTACCATCATTTCTGTTTTGCTAATAGTTAGAAATATTAGCATTGAGATGTTAATTCACATATACGTGAATGAATGAATGAATGTGTCACTCTGCCAAGGATAAAGTCTCCAGATCAGTCAGCTGAAGAGCCAGAGAGACTCAACACCGAGCTACAAAGACTCTTGGACATACGATTCACAAGAAGCGTAAAGAAACCTGAATGATCAGCACCCACACCGTGTCTGCTCGCTGTCCCCAAGCGGCCCAAAAGGCATTTGTGGAGGAGTTAAGATTCAAACACGTCTGTTGATTAGTCCATTTTTGTTCAAACGAATCTGGCTTCCTCTTACAGCCCCACCACCTGCTTGCACCTCTCAGTTCAATGTTTTCTGTAATTTGATCCCTTGTTCAGGATGCAAGTAGTAAAATAATAAAAGACTGATGCAAAAGCAAAGGAAACCCGCTCTGGGCTGCAGACTGTGTTGTTGCTTATCACTGGTACCGGGGCCGCAGAAAGCCTCTTTCATTTGGTGTGTCCTTATTTTTCTAAACATTTGGGATCCTTTTGATGCTCAACTATCGTTCACAGAGAAATCATTTTGAGGCAACAGTCTCCTCGCAGACAATAACCTCAATTCTCCGAGCAACCTGAGTGCATGTCGTGTTGTATAAGGGCCTTGATTCTCGCCTTTTTCCGACTCGAGCACCCTGCTCCCTTTATGTTGTCATTGTTTCTTTTCTTCCTCCAGCTCCAATTACTGACTGTAACAAGCTGTGGCTATTTTCTGGGCCCCAAACATTTTTTTTCGAGTCAATGATGCCGGTAGAGAGAAAACATAACCAGCCTCAACAATAAATAAGGGTTCAAGCAGGACAATACATTAAAAGCATACTGCAACATGTGCCGTGTTTGCGCCTAATTGCATTCCTCTTGGTCCTCCCCCTCTGCAGCGCCTTACCCTGCTGCACGTGAACAGCAACCCGTGTTTGGCACCTGCCGACTCGGGAGGACCACATCGACCCCGCCCTGAGCGACTGCAACCGCAGCCGCGCTCAGCAGTGGCTGCTCCGCAACATGACCCTGAGCGTCTGACCCCCCCTCACAGGTCTCCCCCCACTGCTCTGTCCTCACCCTGACCCGTCTCGGCTCTGCTCACCCCTCGCCGCACGCATGCACGCCTCTCTTTCCCGTAACAGCCAAAACACAAAGGCCCAGGCGGCAGCAGCGGCGGCGGCAGCAGCGGCGGCGGCAGCAGCGGCGGCGGCAGCAGTGGTGGCGGCGGCGGCGGCGGCGGCAGCGGCGGCTTTTCTTCCCTCGCGGATGCGATTCCCTGCTCCAGCTGGCCTCTGGGTTTTCAGAGAAGCTGCAGCAGCTGCTGCTCAGGGGACACGATGAGCTTCGGGGCGGGGGGGGGGCTTTCGGGGAGCTTGGTCCGGGCAGGGGGTGAACAATGCGGTGAGGTCTGTGCATGGGGGACATTCATGCCGTTGGTTCCACTGCGCTGCCCCGACCGCCGCTAAGCTGCTTGTCAAACGATTAAACAGAAATGCATCTTTAACGCGGATATGGCCGGGCATGCACACCTCAGCGATGGTCTTCCTCGTGATGTTGTCTGCTATCGGTACGATCTCAAAACGAGACGGCTCATCCTCTCTCCATATCATTGTCTGTTGCCTTCACACGACATGAGGCGGTGTTGTCAATGGAGCCCGACTAACGCTGGATTTTGTGATAACCGTACTGTGTGTCAACTGATATTTGGTTTCAAAGTCCAGCTGAAATGTAACGCCCTCAAATTTTGGTGCAAGAAACTGTAATCTACAAGGCTATTTCGAGGCATTCTGTATATTTTTCCATTTTTTTAAAAAGAGGATTTAACACTGAGCTGGAAATATTCGTAGAAGCTTGGAGCCTCCGGGTGGGAGTCTTCCACAGAAGGTCTGGAGGCGGTGAGGGGCTGTCAGTGTCCGTGATGTGCTGCTTACTTACAAGCTCACATAATGTTTACTATCAACCTGTTTTAAGCCATCTGCAGGACCCATTTTTAGGTGTTACATACCAAATGAAACACAAATAATGAATCTATGTTAAAAACTGAATCCTTAATAACTTAATTAATACATGCTTTATCAGGTGTCCTTATCAGTGTTCTGTTGTTCTGCCACTTCAACGACACACAATTGAACCATGAATGAATGAATATCTGAATCCATGTGTGTCCAATGCTACATATCTCGAGAACCGTCCTTCCGGTCTACTTGCAACTTGCCGGGTGTATTGCTGCACCAACGGGCGTGCAGTGTTGACGTTGGTACAATTTGGACAGGCGACAAAATCAACATTGATAAACTGAATAAACAAGTGATTTTACAGACCTGCAGCTCATTGATTGCGGTTCTTTTCTGCAACGAGCGTTCTTGAAAACGCTGCAAACAGCACAAGACCAAGCGATCGTCCTGCTCTTAACAGCCAAAAAATGTATTGGTTGGGCTCTAGTTGTTGAGGTGAATTTCTTAAATGATATTTAAAATATTAACCTGACGATTTCAAACCATCGTCTGAATGACATCAGAACAGTGCAGCTATAAAATCCTCCCAGATTAGTGCAGGTGAAAGAAGCAAGTGATCAAGCCTTTTCTATGATTAGATAAAGTTTTAAATGCATGTAAGAGTTTTCCCAAAGTGATAACTGTGTTGTGGAATACTCAAACTGGGCTGTGTTATCATTGCTGATTCCTGCAAACGAAACGACAATATCTTAGAACAGAATAGTTAAGTGTGCCTTTAGAAAGTTGGTTTGTATTTGATTCATTGGTTTATAGAAAATGTTTGATTTATTTTGATGTTAATAAATAATAATAATGCATTTTTCATCTTGAGTAAAAAACTGAAACTGCATTTGATATTCAATAATTGTCATATCATGTACAAGTCATTGTCATACTAATGCTTGATCAAACATTTAGTTACGTTGAAGTCATTCTATATCAGCACATCGTCCATCACACATGCAAAATGTGACTTTTCCCTAAATTATTGATCAGTCAACCACTGTTATTGTACATAATGCTGTTAACAAGTTTCTATCACCATTGTTGTTGTTGTACATACAGAACCAATTATTTTTCTAAGATGCTGTATAACCCAAACAGTCCTGAACGAGACACTGAGTGCTAAAAAGATCACAAGGTGATGTATTAGTTTATTTGGAATCGTGGTAATAAAAACCAGTGCTTACCTTGGATTTTAAAATTGCCGTGTGTTTTGGAAATCATCAGCAGCCCCACGGAGGCGATTCTCCGCAGGCGAGCGTACATGAGGGAGCGACTATGGGGAAGTGCTACCAATGCTGCTTGACTACTGAATCCTGCTTGGCGTTCAGGCTGAAATTCAATCAACCCTTTCATATAACGCACACACATTTATTGTTTTTCATTATGCTAAAGTGCATGTGCAGTGTTGAAATAGCCATGTAATATGTCGATGTACTGGTTGCAAGGAGACTTTACCTGTTTGTACCTTTTTTGTAGAAAAAAACAAACTTTAGATTTAGCATTAATTTCAGTGTCAAGCAAACATATCACACACTAACACATCCGCTGTTTGATTAACCTTGTTCTTGAAGCTTTTATGACCACTGTACGTCTTACCAGCAGGCTTTAGTGTGTCGGCTTTGAAAGGTGGTAAATCTCAGCCTCGGTATGGTAACTGCATCGCAATGGCCGCAACCTTCCGCTTTGTCGCAAAGGTGGCCGCCATCATCAGTGGATGAAGATACTTCTAATCGGATAAATATACTTATTCCAATTCGAGAGATAAAAAAAAACTGTTATTGGTTAAACAGTTTGACATTTAGGGAAATACATTTTCTTGTTGAGAGTTAAGAGGTAAATTATACCATTTGCACGCTGTGAAGCTAGAAGCCATAACTCGTTAGCTTAGCATAAACACCGGCAACGTTTGTCAACCCAGTCTCACAGCAACACGTGTAATAGCTACGTTGTGAAACGTGGTATTCTCACGCTTTTGGGGAGGAAGCGTGAGAATACAATGTTTCGTTTGCAACTAGGTAACGTGACTATCAACTTCCCCTCAGCTAAAACAAGAAAATGGCGGACTGTCGGTCTATTATCTGTGAAAAACAATATTTTAAGAAAGCATCAGCATTTGTATGCATTTCGATGGCATTTCTAGCGAGAAGTATGCGTTATATTACATAATGTTCTATCAGAGAATTTAGAAGACCTTTCGTTTATTAGTTTCTAGTGACGTAGTTGTAAATGAATGGGCCAAAATAAAACGTAGTATTGTCACAATTTTGGGGAGAAAGCGTGAGAATACCACGTTCCACAACGTAGCTATTACACGTTTTACTGTGAGCCTGGGTTCCATTTGTTACCTTACAACCAAACTTGTTATCACGCATCTATGATTAACACATTTTATGTGGGAAACCGCACCTTCTAGTCTTCATGTTGAGCTAAACCATTCCGCTTCTTCTTGCACCTTTTAAAAAGCAATGAATAGGCCTATATCCTAAATGTCAAACCACATTGACATTAATTCAACTAATAATTTTAACACTACATTATTTTATAATTAGCATTGTTATTTTAATTACACAACTTGCGTTGTTTATAGTGATGAAATAATTAACTCTAAACTGCATCCATATTGTTTCTGTTCATTTCCCCTCAGTTAGGCTTGACATGACAAAAGTATTAATAGTCGTTGCGGAGCTGACAACACATCAGCGCCTCGCCGCACTCTCAGCAGGGGTCCCGCTTCAGCGTCACACCTGTAAACCCGGGCTGCGTAACAGGGCCTGCGAGGATAAGATAGGGGGTCTGTGGCTGGGCCAGGGGAGTCCATTAAGGGGTACGGTTCTTTAAAATAACAGCCCTAATGGAGGCCTTATCTGTGGGTATCCGGAGCTCACTGTGGCTCTTGGCGGTAGCTCACGTTCAGAGCTTCTCACCACAGAGTATTGTTCTGCAGACAAATATGAAGCATCGGGTGGGTAAAGGATTGTGGCTGGGTGTTTATTCCTTGAACAAGAACCCCAGATCTCCAGAGACAAAGAACCATATTTCCTTTGTTGTTCTCCAAAACATTCAATCAGGTTTTCTGCATAATTGTTATAAAAGATAGTCATACAGATGTTTCTTTTAACATTATAGATTTAGGAATTGCAGGTAACGTTATTTTCCTTTGAGGCCATTCTACCGTATTGTTGTTTTTAATGTTGAGTTTTAGTTTATTGCAGTGAAAAGTAAAATATTTCCCCCTGAAAGTGGAGCAAAACGATGAAGTAGCATAACGTGGAAACACTCGTACAAAAGTTATTTCGAGTAAATTTCCTCAGTACTCTTCATAATTAACTGTCACTGGTTCACTGCAGCAGAGATACTCTCCAACAGAAATACTGATGACGGAATTACATTTTTCACTCAGTCAAAAATGTAAAAGCATAATCGGGATATGAAACTACCTCAAAGGCCATTTGCAAAGTGGTCAACTGAAGTCCTGCAGCCATTTGTAGTAACCACCAGATGATGCCTGGGATTTGTGCTGACTAATTTGTGTTCATGTAAACGCCAGTAATTTAGTAACAGAAGCCTATGGGTGACATGGAAGACATTCAGATGTCAGAACCCCCTGCTGTTGTTCTCCTGAAACCAACGCTCACACATTGCTCGTATTCAGGCCACGGCAGCTGGACTCTGACCTCTCTTTTTAGTTATGTGACTGTCTCTCTAACGTGTTTCCATTACACCATCATGACAACAAAGCCTTTGTGACCCAACTTCAAATCCCATGCTGTACATTTTCACATCCCATTCCTATTACCACCCCCCCCCCCACCATGCTCAGCGTAGCGAGTTTCATCATCTATAGGTGCATCCAATTGGTAAAGGGAGACGGGATTATCAACCCGCTGGATTTGCGGTTTCTTCTCACTTGAGTCCAGAGAAGAAATCCTGCACTTAATTGTTCAGGGTACCTAAAGTTCCAGAGCGCCTGCATTGTATGGCAGCTTTAATTAGACATAGTCTGAGGTCCGTATCTCAGTCGGGGTCAGCGTACACCCACACACTCACTCAGAACAACAGAATAACGTAGTGTGCCGGATACTAAATGTGCAGCGCCAGCCTAGGGATTCAACCAAGACATTTCTGATGTAAGCATGCAATTTCTTGTGTAATTTTTATTGATTCACAGGGAAGAAAGTGCCTTTAACAAGCTTCTTCTATGTAATAATCTCCTTTTAGCGTCGAAAGCAGTGATTAAGCGGAGGAGCCTCGCTGCTTTCAGCAGTAATTGTGTAGCAATCAATCATCGATCTCCAGGAGCTGTTCCACCAAACGCTCCTGTTTGGATGCTATTTTTGAACATAGCAACAACTAATACGGTTTTCCCTTCAGCTGTGAAAAGAAAACAGCAGCCCACCCCAAAACAACACTTTTTAAATGGACCTATCAAGGATTGTGTCCGCAATAATACTTCATCCGATATAATTATGTGGATGTATCATCGTCACTATCAGATGCCACTTTGCTACTTTGCTATTCGGGGGCAAGGTTGAACGCTGCTGCCGCTTCTTTCACCGTTGCCCACGGACTGCTGCACTGTCCTTTGATTACCACAAGATGCTGACAATCTCATGTGCCCCTCGGAGGCTCCGTGTTTTGACCCAGTTGCTGCACCCCCGTGGAATCACGGGTCTAGAGATGCCGCTCTTCTCACCCACTGCGCGGCCAAGCTCGGCGGAGAGTCTGTTACCGCTTCAGCATCCTCCTGTTTGTACCTGTAGTGCAACGCGTGTTTCAGGGAAAGAAGATTGTTTGTCCAAAATCAATATTGTAGCTTGAAAATAAGATTAGGGAGACATTTTTAGGGAGGAAGTTGCGCATTTGCGGCGGGGAGAGGGGGGGGGGGGATAGAAGGACGGATCCATCAAAGCATCATGAAAGCCCCTGCTCTGCCTCTGATTGTGGAGATTATGAAGGAAAATGGAAAATTACAGAAGATTGTCTCAAGTGATTGGCTGATCTTTTCTGAGGATGACCTCAAGAGCTATCCGAGCTGATTCGGAGAGGACGACAAATGCATCTGGTGTCCTACATCGGTCTGATTAGATTAATAAATCAATCGCACCCGCCCCCCCCCCCTCCCCCGCCCATCAGGTTTTGCCCAGGCTATTTTTATGAAGTGGGTTAGTATTTCTGATCATCCACTAAAGAAAGTTTGTCATGTGCTGGTGCAACAGGAACCAACCACATGTACTACACTGGTCAATAGCCTCTGATGGTTTTCAGTTTTCTGAGGATGACGCTTGTATAGCACTTCCAAATTAAGCTGTTATTAGATAAGAACTAATCTGCATATTCCAATTCTGTGCAAAGTGTTACACATCTGCTACCTCCCGGTGCGCGACAAGAACGAACCTGCACCGTAACCTCTTTCTTGTATTTAGCTGTGAGCGACAAAGACTGTGTGCGGAGCACAATGGGAAAAGTGTTCCTGTGGGGTTGGGGGTGTTTCTGTACACTTCCGTGTGCCTGATTATTCTAGCGACATTGTCTAATGGTCCCTGTGACTACCACACATGGATGCAATCTCAGAACTTTGAAAGCGAGGCAAATAGCTTGAAATTGACAAGGAAAATAATTGTGCGTGATGATAATTCATTTCTGCAACCGTGTTGAAAAAATGTTTTCTGAATAAGCTTCTTTTCATGTGTGATTTGGTCCCACGAGGTCCCACAATGTTTACCTGTTTTTACTATTTGAGTCTTAATAAGTAAGACCTATAGATGTTGGTTTTAAACTTTGAATTTGAACATATTTGGTTATATTTATTTATGGAGAAATATTTTATTTTCAAGGCCTTTAAACAGCCTGATCTACAAAAACTGTTCGTAAAAATGTATACAAAAATCTTGAAGACACAAATTCGTAGTGATACATACTAACTAAATACAGACTGCAACTGATGACGTCACCCTGTTCAAAGTGAATGGGGAGCTGCACCCCGTAAACACACTTTGTGGAGTCTAACGATGTAAAATAAACTTGTTATGATTGCATTTTTAACGAGAAATTAATGTTAAATTGTAAGAATACAATACTAACCCTAACCCCCTCAAAAAATCCAACATGGCGGAGAGACGTTCACTCAAGAATCCAACATGGCGGAGAGACGTTCACTCAAGGGGCGTGGTTAACCACCGCCAGTTCGTATGTATTGTTACGAATTTCTATGTCAAATATTTCGTATACATTTTTACGAACAGGTTTTGGAGATCACGTTGCTTTAAAAGTCAAGAACAATAATGCAGACATAGCCTGTCTCAACACAACTGTGTCTTAAAATGAAATGCACATGCAGGGCCGATCCTTTTCCAAGAGTCGTTGAGGAAACTTTTGTTTTAATTCAACAGAAAGTAAAAACAAAAAGTCTAGCTGGTGATAACAGGCTGACAGTCAGCCGGTCCAAACCAACTAATAGCCTCGTTTTTGCTCCGCACATGTGTGAGCGGCCTCATTCCTCCTAACGAGGGCCGGAACGCATGGCCAACGACCTGTGTCCCCCTGCAGTCATTATAAAAGTCCCGCTGCGGCCCTACTTGTTCACCTGGCAATTATGACAGCCTGGTGACTGACGGGAGAAATGTTTTCCTGTCTGTCGCCCTCGAGGGGCCACGGAGCCAAGCAGCCCACACTTGGAGGCGCCGCCATGCGATCGGTCATTTGGAGACGGCCGCGTCAGGCTTTAGTGCTGTTTGCAGGTCAGGGCACTCGGAGCTCGCACTGAACGTGGAGCAGCATGCGATAAACCACATTGCGTCGCAGGATTTGGTAGGAGAGGTAGATTTCGCTGGGAACTACAGACTGCCCCAACAGTCTTCTTCATATTCATATGGAGTTTTGTGTGGGGGGCAGTAACCGTATCCAGTGGTCCACTGATATTTATAATCAAAATGAAGTTGATCCCAAAACTGCTTTGCTGCTGCCTCCACCGTGTCTCCAGTTAGAGCCGTACAGGCCATAAAATAAAGTACCAATGACAGGCGAATTTCAAAGTGGCTGTCATCAGGGATTTCTTGACTAATTGACAATGGTGCTTAGAATGTTGATAAAAACATGCTGATTTAGTGCAACACACAGCAGAACAACAGCAAGCGAAAAGGTAGAGGGGCGGTGGGAGCTAAACTGTGTGTGAGAGCGGTGTGTTGTTGGTCCGGCCTCGTGTCCGAGAGACAACGTGTAAGCCTCGGTAACTATGGCGTGGGTGTATTCCTCTGTGGCCTCCCGGTAATACGATGAGTGAATCCTGAGCAATGCACCCTGGTTGGTTGCAGCCCTTTTTTTTTTTACCCCCCTGAGATCTAATACAATTTGGTGAGAATGTCAGCAGGTTTTTTCGGGCAAAACCTGCTGAGATCTCGTAGCATTCGTTGGATGAACATGGGCGCAGTCAAAGGTGGGATGGAAGAGGGGTCGTCAGTGCCTGTTAGCACGGGTGACACAGAATAACAACAAATGTCCACTAAATACAGATGCAGGGCAGCTGTTTTCACACAACGTTATTGAACTGCTTGTATTGGAGAGGAAGCAACATGAACATTGTACACCAAGATGATTCAGCGTCTTTGCGGTAGAGATAAAGCTGTAATATACTGCTATTTTATTTTCCCCATTTTTCTAACCATATAAAAAGATTTGGTGATGCTTTAAAGAGACAGAATCCGGGTTATTATCATGTCAAAGGCTAAACGTGGGAATGAACTGTGATCATTGGAAAGTCATCATGACCTCAGCTGCAGTTTCACATTTTTGATTTGATCACTTGGAAAAAAAAAAAAGTCAAATCAGGCAAACCCTCTTCCCGCCTCCTCCGAATGGTCTGTCTTTGTGCCACTAGGCAACAGCGAGTGTACCACTGGAGCTGAGGAAGTGCGCAGGAGCCGCGCAGGGAAATCGACGGGGAAAGACGGATCGAAGCGGCCAAAAGAGCGTCTGGTGGATATTTACCGGAGAACCATGAGAACCCGTTCGCTATTTCTCTGAGAGGGGAATAGGTGCCCCGGAAAGAGCCGGCTAAGCAGCGTCGATGCGCGCACCCAAAAATGACGACAGTGGGACAGTGATTCTCTTCCTCCATCTCGTCGTGTTTTACAGTCAGACGCTTGGATGCAACTCATCTCACATGCGTACAGGTTACAAAAGGAGCGCTGGAAACCTTGATCATCTCCAACGCAGACGCGAGTGCGCACGTTCCGACCGGGAAACCTTTTCCAGCGACCAATTACGCGGAGATATTGGGTTTTTTGGGGCGGTGGAAGGATTTTGAACTTTCGTATGAAAACTTACTCTCCGAGTACAATCTGGAACAGGTCGATATAGACACAACCTTTCACGGGCGATGAGCAGCTGATAAACCTGTAAAAAAAAAACTGCACTGTGGCTTGCGCGTTTTTGGAATCCTTCACCCTGGGAGTTGCTTGTTCCTTCATATGGCTTCTGTCCTCGGGGCTCGTAAACCTGCTCGTTCGTTGCTGATATTTCATGGCTGTAGAGTGTAGTACCAGTAGCGTGTGGCGAAGGAGGACGGTGCAAGACTAACTGGGGCGGGGGGGGGGAGGAGGGGGGCGAACACAGTGCACTTTTATCGCCTTATTTCCAAAAGAGGAGACATTGCGCGCGGGCATCACCGACTGCGGCAACAACAACCCAGACTTTTTTTTCTCCCCCCTCTACACCACTGAATCCTTTGTTACTCCTTTCGCTGCTGTCATCGTAGTATGTCTGCACTCCGAAAGAAATTTGGGGACGATTATCAGGTAGTGACCACCTCATCCAGCGGGTCTGGATTCAACCAGCCTCCCCCGGAGAAAAAGAGGAAGAGGCAGCGGTTCGTGGACAAGAACGGGCGATGTAACGTCCAGCATGGGAACCTGGGGGGTGAGACCAGTAGATACCTCTCGGACTTATTCACAACGCTAGTCGATTTGAAATGGCGATGGAATCTATTCATTTTCATCCTCACCTACACAGTGGCTTGGCTCTTCATGGCCTCCATGTGGTGGTGCATCGCGTACATCAGAGGAGACCTCAACAGAGCCCACAACGAAAAGTACACTCCGTGTGTGGCCAATGTCTATAACTTTCCCTCGGCCTTCCTCTTCTTCATAGAGACCGAGGCCACCATAGGATATGGTTACAGGTACATCACGGACAAATGCCCCGAGGGGATCATTCTCTTTCTTTTCCAGTCGATCCTCGGATCAATTGTGGATGCCTTTTTGATCGGCTGCATGTTCATCAAGATGTCTCAGCCCAAGAAAAGGGCCGAGACGTTGATGTTCAGTGAGCACGCGGTGATTTCTATGCGGGATGGAAAACTAACTCTCATGTTCAGGGTCGGCAACCTGCGTAACAGCCACATGGTCTCCGCACAGATCCGCTGCAAATTACTCAAAGTAAGTGATACGTTCAGTCGGGATCCATCGACTGTTCCCTTTGTTCATCCTGGCTCAGTCCATGCTTTTTTTTAATTTATTTTTTTAAGTAAAACGGATGCTGAAAGGCCGACATAAACCGGCGAGACTTAATTTGCTTGATGGAAATCGATCAAGTTTGAGTCCTTCCTGTCGTTACATCAGATCTCCAGAAGAACGCGTTGTTCAAATGCTGTTTTAAAGAGACAATGTTTTACAACGTATATAAATGTGCAGTGGGGCGAATTAAACACAACATCTGGATCCACCTACTGGCTTCACAAAAGTCCTTAGTCAACTATTCCAACTTTTAAATGCTCATCTATACAAATATCCCACAATTATTATGTAATAGGATTAGAGTAATAATGTAATAAATTCAATGCTGGCTCTCTTAAAGTCTAAGGTATGAACTCGGTTTCCCCCAATGCGTCATATTCGTCTTTGTAGATGATTAAAACTGTTTCAGAATTTCTAGTTTCCACGTGCTGACACACCAGGTGATTGAAGGCAGATCAAGACGGATAAAACTATTTATACAAACCAAAGGATTTGATTAATCTGCATGAAAAATTTGACATTTCAAGTCCCAGGTGACACATCAAATGACGTGCTAATTTGTATATTCTTGCCAATGTAATTTAAGAATATTATTGCAATTTCTCTATATGCATACTAGTTGCTCTGATTTCGTATGCTTGTGAAAAGCTCCAACAAAGGCTCTGATGTGCTGCTGATACGTCTGTCTGACCCCTTCCTTCCCCCACTCAACATCTCTGTCTCTGTCTCTTCCTGTACGCTGCTGTAGTCTCGCCAGACGCCCGAGGGCGAGTTTCTTCCGCTGGATCAGTTGGAGTTGGACGTGGGTTTCAGCACTGGGGCAGACCAGCTCTTCCTCGTCTCACCCCTCACGATTTGCCATGTGATTGACACCAAAAGCCCCTTCTACGACCTCTCCCAGAGATCCATGCAAACAGAGCAGTTTGAAATTGTGGTGATACTTGAAGGAATAGTAGAGACTACAGGTGAGTAAAAGCAAACATGCATTTTTCAGGCCGTCTGTAAAAACAAAACAAAACAAAAGATCTTGTTTTGCAGGCTGCAGGATAATTACACAGTAGCTTAAGATGATTTATTGTCTCTACAATGTTTGAGGTGGTGCAATATTGATCTGTGTAATAAATCTCATAGATACATTGAAGCTCTATCATAGGTGTTAATTTGTCCAAATGGAAACACTATTGACCCCTTCATTACATTTTATTGATTTTTATTTATGTGGCACACAAACAGAGAATATAGCAGTGGTGCATTGTAGTTCATTCTTTTTGTGTTAGATGCATTGACTTTTTAATCCATGCATTAAAACACCTTCTGGAGAAAGCAGGACCAAGATTTAAGCCACATGAGCAGGGTCAATGTTACATACATTTTATTTTTCTCATCTGAAGCAGTGCAGCACTCACCTCGTGGCTTTCCTTGGAGAGGATAATAACTTGCTTTCTAAGGTCCCTTCGGAATTAGGGAATTCCATTTCCACAAGATGAGTAACGCCCCGAGTAAAATTCTCCAGTGTGGTCATTTTGAATTCAAGCGTTATTTGACACAGCTGATATAGTGTTGGGGGAGCTCCTTTAGGATTATAGAGTGAACTGAGGGGCAGTTGTAATACGCTCGTTTCGACAAAACGGCATGTGGAGATGTGACAGCGGGACTGACACAGCAGACAGCAATTAGCAGAGATCTTCATTTGCTAATAGATAGGTTCAATCATTTAGTGCAGTTTCATTAAAGTCATTCTGCAGTTTGAGATGCAGCTTACATAAAGTTTTTTCAGTCTATGACTGACGCTTTTAAGTCAATTTGATGGGATTTGATATATTTTTTAAACATGGTGCATACAAGAGGTAATTTATTAGAACATGACGTATGAGCAGATACTGGGTTTGGTCTTGGGTCCAACATAAGTGAGTCTGCTCACTGTTTACATACCAGATTTTTCTTTATTAATTCATCTCTCAGTTGATTATCTATTATCCAATTAATTACCAATAAACATTTAGTTTCAAACTTTTATTTTTTATTGAGCGTCATTGAAAGATTGCTGTTGTATGAGGGTTGGTTTGAAGGTATGGAGATGTTTATTTATCATTGATATATTAGAAAGTATTTTTAGTATGACAGCTCATGTTCTTGTATGCTTTATAATAGTACCGATAAAAGGTTTTGACTACATTGGTTGGTGTGGGAATGTTACTCATATGGAGAAACAGTGGTGGTTATGTGAAGTCGGGGAAAAAAGCTGATGTAAAAACAATCCGTGGTTAAAAATTGATGTACAGTGAAAGTCTAAATTGTCAGACTCTTTCATTCCTGGCCAATGTAACTCTGTTTCCATGGCAACCTCGGCTTGAGTATTCAGGACTGCAGCATTGCATCTAAACTTAGTTTTTTTTTCATTCCTATATGTTATAGGAATCATAACACTTTTTCAGTAACGAAACAGGCAAACATGCACTGCTGAACGTTAAATCAAATTTCTTTGTTAGCAACATGGTCTGGTATTAAGGAGAATCTCTTCTGAAATATGAAAAGGTGTTACTGTACCAAGAAAAGCTTGCCAGCACAGGTGTAACAGCAGAGTAGAAATAACATGAAATATTTACGAGGCTTGCTGTTTACCAGTGAAGAAACTGTCCAGCTCCCCAGATCTAGGTTGTTGTTGTCGTCACTTTTTGTTATGTGTCCGGAACACAAGTACTTTTCACTACGGCTTAAAGCTACACAATCACTGTATTTGTGTCATTTCTACCAGATAATAACACACAACAGTGTATGCTTTTTGACACATTACCCTTTTTTCTATCAGAGCTAATATTTTGCTGGGACCTCTACATTGTGTAAAAAGGCCAGAGCTGTTTCTTATTCCCTTTGAAGAGGAGCCCAATGTGTTCTTGATCACCACCTGAGCAAGTTGCACCATCCAAATGGCCCGTGTAGGATGTCTGGTAGAGCAGATTTTCTTCTGGAGAGATGCCAGTCGTGGCTTTGTAGTGTTATGGAGTTTGGGTTTTCTCACTGAATATGTTGCAACACTGTGGATGAATTGGCTCCACATCACGTCGCAATTATTGTACAGTACAACAGCCTTCCCCCCAAAAAACTGTAATAGCTGTAAGAAAGAAAAGCACAAATAACGAGCCAGTAGTAACACGTTTTGGTCGAGTTAACAGCACTAATGGGGGGATGATGCCTGACACAATAGGAATCGATAAATGGAACACAAACCACATCACTCCCCTACAAGTATAGAGATACAGTGGCATTGGCTACAAAGCAAATGTGCATGTAAGCCTCTGTGAGTGAGCGCCTTATCCCACTTGTTACGTTGTTGACGTGAGTCTCGGCATAATAACAGCAAGCTGAGTTGCATTATTTGTGCATCGCGGGATAAAAAAAGAGGGATGTGAATAACAAGGAACAGACTGGAGCCCAGTAAAAATGAATGATCAATACAACAAAAAAAACCCAAAATAAAATATATACAATATTTCTCTACATTCTCAGAGAGGCCGCGGTGCAGTTACATCTGCTCACTTGTTCTATGGCTGAGTCTGCTGAACAGTCAATAATCTGTCTTTCAGTTATGATACGATACGCAATATTTTGTACACCAGACAATATGGTTCTCACTTGCAACAACAACCAAACATACAATGAGTGTATGCTTTTTCAGAATTCACTTTGCATGATAAAAAGTATGGCAGTTTGGGTATTGGAACTCCCAGCAAATTATTTTTTTCAGGAAAACTTCAAAATAAATGTTTGGTTTTTAAATTGTTATTAATTACATTGCGTGTTGCTAGTCAAAACCTCAAATGATGGTCAACAAATTGGGACACAAGATGGAAATATGGCCTTTCTGTTTGTTCCATGTACCATGTATGTGTCATCGCAGTACATTCAAAGCTCATTCAAGTAACATGCTGTATGTAGTGTACGTCATCATCCGTCTGGAGCCTGGAAAAGGCTGTTTCCATTATACTTTTGTTGGTTTGGATTCTGTTCATGAATGCAGCTGGAAAGAAATACTTAAAGTCACAGTGAACCGGCTGAAAGAAATCCAGTTCTCATTTATCTATTTCCACCTTTACATATATAGGTAGCACATATACTTATAATGCAAATACATATGTCACGATATTGAGCTGACTTTAACTCACTGACTCTGAACTGCTACCTTCATAAAATACAAATCAAAAGTTTAGTTAAATGTCCCATTAACACCAGTGATGCTGTTCAACGCTGCAAAAGCTTAAAAGCCAAGCCCAGAGGCAATCTGTTCATTAGTGGGGCTGATTCTTGGGAACCCAAAATTAACTGTAGCTGCCAGCAGCAGACGTTTAGGTTCCTCCATCCATGAAACCAATCAGGGTAATGATTTTCAGGGGCGGATTTGTACATGATGCCGTTGCACAACTCTCCTATCTGAACCCTGCAGAATTTATATCATTAAATTCTCTGAGTATTGCTTAAAACATGTAAATAAGTCATATTTTGTTTCAACAAAGTTGCAATCTCTGAGGTAAAGTCTGCTATCTTGTTGTTTATTTAAATGTTTGAATTTGTTTTCTCTGAGAATTTTCATTATTACTTTGTTTCCCTCCTTTGGAGACACAGCACATTAGTAGGGAAGGCGAGCACTCGCTTACTAAACTAACTAATTATTCCCGTGTTTCTGAATCAGCTGAATGTCTGATGTACACGAAACACGGCGCCCAACTTCATCTCTTGATTTGGTTTTAAGGCAAATGTTTAAAAAGGTCAAAAAGTCTCTTCTCTTTGATGAAGTGTTGTGTTGATTTGGATTATTTTTCAGCCCACTCTTTTTCGTCCTGCTGCAAGGCTGTGTTATGGAATACAAAATAGAATATCCCAGCTATCTGCTCATTTTAAAATGAGTGTGGGCGGCGGGGGGTTAGTTGCTTATAGACTGGATCAACTGGTAATGTTTATTCATGTGTGCATAAATGCAGTTTGCGACTCGATTATAATGAATCTCCTTCCTGTATGCTCAGTTCGTTTAAAATTCTATCACTTTATTTGTTGAAAAATTCTGTGTTTAGACCTGTGTAGCGTTACAATCTCAACAAAACAACTGAAAATATTTGAAACAATGTGCTTTGACGGAGCTGAATTAATACAACAACATACAACGATCAAATATATTCATCCAATTAAAACGTAATCACCTGACCTAACAAGTTTGTTTGATCATGATCATCATAGCTAATTAAGTAACCCTTTTGCAACAATTACACAAGAAGTGTATATTTAGAACTGAAATTAAGAACAATAATTTCTCCGGCCACCGAGTCGGCATAATTAATTTCAAACGCCTATTGCCCCTGATTAGCAGAGAGGACCGTGTCATGGTCTGATCTGTGTTTTATCAGCAGCGGCAGTAATTGAAATGAAAATGGAGAACTTTGGACTGTACTGCAGGCCCGACAGTTTCAACCCATACGAGTAAGAGATCCTCGCCCTGGAGGTCTCGGGGTCGCCTGACGTCAAGAGCCCCAGAGCTTAAGTAAACGGTGAACCCCGCGTATGAGCCGAGATTTGCCGTCCTCGGGAGGAACTGGCTATAATTCGTTCTGAGCCATTACGCTGAGTTCGTCCTCCGCGGGGTTTATCCTCCCTCCCGGCCGTCGGTGTTGCAGCCCGCGCCGGTCAAGGAGTTAAAAGTGGGTTCAGTGGGGAAGCCGAGGCTGCAGATCAGGTGAGAGTTTCCAATTAAATCCGATATGCTCGGGGTGAGAACTCAAGAGGGAAGTGTTTGTCCCTGCTGAGTTCCACCTGTGCACCCAGAAGCCCCATTTGAATACCTCACAGCTCACTTGTTGAATGCGTTTTGGTTCATTTGAATTCATTTGACTCATTTCCTTTATCTGTCTTGAATATTTCAGCGTGACAAACATGGATAATGTTATCTGTGTTGAACCTGAATACAATGATATTCTTA